GGAAGAAGAGTAAGATTTTCAGAACATTTAAACGACTACTGCACGTAAGGCACTACTCGACACTTTATATTACCTCGATCTTTCTTTTTAACGATATATAATTTTTTTTAAAAAGACAATTTTAATATGCTTATATATTTTTATTTTTATTTAAAAAAAACACAAAACATAAAAAAACATTTTTTAACGCTATTACGTGTGCTTGAGTATATTTTTCATTTTTTCGCCGACATTGTGTTTTTACGCACATACGAGTGTATTTCGACATGCACTTACACTTTCTTTTTTCTTCTCCAGGACGGCTGGAAAAGAACGATGCAGTTTACGAGGAGTCAAAATTTTCGTCGTAACTTTTTCCTTTTTTACTATGTTGTAACTCGGTCCCATATAGTAAGGAAAGACGACTAGACGCTGCTACACTTAGTACGCTATCAGAAGAGTGTTTACCAACGACAAACTCGTTGGGTTTAAACTTCTGGCTGGCCAAGTCTTAGGGTCGTCACTGCCACACTAGGGGGGGAGTGATCTGTAGCGGTAAATAAATCCCCAAAATAAATAGCTCTAAGTTTTCGACATTGGATGCTGACCATATGTTTTAGTGGACTCATCTAGCTGAAGGCGCTCGGTCAGGCATCCGCACCAGCTCACGTGTGGTTACGCCGTGCTTAACATCAACCGCAATCGCTAGCCAGATTAGATCAGAGAGTTCCGATATATTGGTTATCGCCAAATATACTCTTCCGATCTCCTCGACTCTGTCTTTTGATTTCTCTGAGTGGGGAACGAAATACATTAGAAGGTGTTACTGGTAGAAGCTTTGTCAAACACTGAATACCTGTGACATCTTCAAACTAATGATAACTTTGTACTTGTTGAATGCTTGATTTCGAATTCTAAATACAGTACATTCGTTTGCGGTTATCTAGTACTTCTTGATCCGATTACGTTATTTCTGAGATTCTTAGTTCATACTTATAGATATCACACTCCATCATTCCTGACATTTAGTTTGACTAGCTTTGCGATTCATGATCATACAGGTATTGCGAATGAAAGCATTGTTAAGCCTTGAATATCCATGGCATCTTTAAACCTTTACTAAAAAGCTGGATTACTTCCTGCCTTCAGACCACATAATTAAAATCTAGGCACAACAGTATTTTATCCCGTTTAAATTGTCATTTGAACAAACACATAATTTTTCTTCGCAAATAGCACGGTAGGATTTAGTTTTCCCAGGCAAGGTAGATGTAATATTTTTGCTTCACGTTTTATTGTCCATCACAGCTAGTGCATCAAGAAGAGCTAATAGCTGAAAGTATTGACTTGCTTCATAACAGTCCTTGTGACAATTGCTTTACAAGCTGAGCTCGTTTTGGCAGCCTACAAGTATACCACCCTAAATCATGATGGTGAATGCGGAAGAGTATCTATTAAATGTTATTGTCATAAGGTTGAGATAACTTACAAATCAAGCAAATAGAAGCAAGAGACCAGATGAAGTTTAGAAAGTCACTATTGACTTCAACTTTTTTATTGGATTACGCTTGAAATTCCACTAACCGCATCGTCATTTGGTTAGGGTAAGGAATGAAAAAGCCGGTATTAAAGCTAGACGAAACTGAGCTGGGGCTGAGACCGTTGAACTATATGGTTATAACTGCCTTAAAGCGGCTTGAATAGAATGTCCACGTTCTACTAACCGTAAAACGACTGGTTGTGGTTTGAGCGGGTGATATATGAGAGATATCGACCAATAATTATTTGGTCACCAAACAGCTTTTATAACAGTATAGTTGTGGGAAAACGTTTTACACATATGGCCTTTATTCGTTTTAAGTTAACTAATAATCACTGTCCGTTGAATTCATGTATCCCACCCTGTTGTTCGTTTTGTCTCGATAATCGGGGACTGACAATCTAGTGGTTTTCTGTACTTTAGAACTAACTTAACCAGACCGACCTATAGGACTTAGCTGACGACTACTTAAATCGCAAGCTAACCTATTAAGGAGCGATGAGTAAGTTGATTCAAAACTGTATATGGATCCTTGTTCAGTGCTTAATAAAAAGTTCAATATCAAGCGTTCTCGAACATTTTACCTTCATTCAGTGTATCACCGCTGCAGATATGAGTGTATTTCTCTTTCGGTACTTCATTTCAGTAACTTAAAACTATCTGCATATTGTCGTTCATGAAGTGGATCCCAACTTCCGGGAGAAGAGACAAATAAACAGAAAGTTGAGGATGAAAATGAAATTTCTACTGCAAATTATGCTCTTATATGTAGTATCCACCTCTCGAACGAGTACAAACACGCAAGATATTGCACACACATTGAGCATAAAAAGATGAATGCACTACATAAATACGGACTCAAAACTTATCCTCGGAAGCTGAAGTATTTCCAATGTCTTTAGCGTTGTGTAATAAGGTCTTTCTATTTTCCAAAACGCATGACCTTCATGGGCAACTTGTAGTTGATGGACTACAAACAGCCAATATACGGTTTGCAGAAGACTATCTCTGTGATTCTTTTGTCGCCTGTTGATATGCAATGGTAATTCTCAGGACTCAGTTTCCTGGTACAGCCGTGAGTCACAAATACTTGCACAAATATTGTATAAATTGTGCAGAATCAACCAGAAAAGTTCTTAAATTTAGTACCCAGTCAAAAATTGTCACTCTGCTAAGTATTTACTTCACCGCTTGTCCTCAGTCGTGAAACAGAAGGTTCTGATGAACTAAGCACAACGCAAATAAGGTCGAACAGAATAAATGAGTAAACGAGATAACATGAAGTTTGGATATTTTCATACAAACAAAAACACCGGAATGCCAATTTCATTCTCATTAGCTTTCTCCGTTCTGTCGCACGAGGCCTGTAATAACGTAATGTCTGTTACTATGTTAAGCTGACATAGCTTATTCTAGATTACGGATAGGCTAATCTATTCATTCTACTTCAGTCACGTTTTGACCTTGCCAATTATTCGCCTGTCCACCTTGACAGCTTTCATATAAGCGCATTTGTGTGTACATCTTATCTTACTCATCACATGTCTGTAGCTTATTTTGTTTGACTATAGATATTGATTGATGCTTGATCAAATCTAGTTGGCTTACGTGCCCTCTCTACTGCGCACTGTTTCGTTTCGCTCCCTCTCTTCTTTTCGCGTTCTTTGCTTCATCCGTCTTCTTGTCTGTCCAGATCAATGAGTGTTCAAAATATATGTATCCAAAATTCATTCTCGCATTTGACTTATTTAGTTCCGTTATACATTGATGCGATAATTTTATACGAGGATTGACGATATGTATATTTCAATAACAACCAATCATACGATATTATTGAAGTCAGATACAGGACCTCTAAAACAGCGTCAGCTTTTCATTCATTACATCTACTACGCGCTAAATTTTGTTGAGTAAGCGAGAAGAAAAACTATGCATATCCCATATCGCGCAAGTTTTGAGTACGCTAGGAAGAAAGCGGTCCGGAGGTTTTGCATATAGGTGAATGACAGTTGTTCAGCAGAAAGAAATAGTAAATATAATGCCTGTAACCAATGGAGAAGCAGGTATCCATGGAAATTTCTTCCATTTATATACATTCGCTGATAGTTTATTTCACTCAATAAGCTTCGTATTATATCTCATACTGACCGTTACATAAAGATAAAATTGGCGGCTTAATTGTTTGCAATTAGTTCCAATTGTAATTATTTTAAATTGAGTAGAAGCACTTGGTGTTTACGTGGTCTGAATCGTCTCGCGGTTGGTAGCGCATAATAGACTTCATCAGTACTTTCATTACCCCTATCATAGGGATTAAGACCCAGGAGAGACAGGTAATCTAATTCCCCTTCTGCTAGCAAATTTTTCAAATGAAATATTCAGGCAGTACATACTGCTTGTGCCGTATTGTAAATACACTTATCGTGTCTGTGGAATGACATTAAACCTTTGAGAGGGTTTAGAAAAATGAAGGACCATGTCACATTCTTGATGGAATAATTAATTATACCGCTGCCACATTTCCCACGTTTACAGACAGCTCTTAAAGACCGACGCCAAATAAAACTACATAAGTTGAATCAGCCTTTGTAAATATCTAACCTTGAAGTTAGTTTCTTTTCATCTACCTAAGTCAAAGTGTAATCTGGGAATACAGGATGTGGTCCAGAAATCAGTATTATGGGTTTCAGTGACAAAATTTCGAACAATATTATCGGTAAGCACGAGCGTATCCATCAAACGTCTCACGAGAGAAAACATCTCTTGCTTGGGGTATACTCAGGCTGGACGAGAATAGCGTGACCTTTGGGCCTACGTCCAAAGTCACACCTCGTGGTTAATACCTGACACGAATTTCACTCTCATGGTTTTCGGGCCTTAAAGCTATCTTGATGACAGTACAGAATAAATGTGACATTAGTGAGGAATTATATTAACAAGCACAGGCTACTGCCATCAGGAGGACAGTGACATCAGATATAGTGCATCTGCCACATTTTCTAAAGAACTTGAGGTCATTGCTACCACTGATAGGAAGTCTTCGTTTCCATTCGGTTTGTTATATTTTTGTAGGCACACACTAGATTTGAGGTATGGAAGTAACTTTAAGTATTGAAAACTTGAGGCTACGATCCTATCAGAAGTCTCAGCTGTTTTTCCATCGACACTTAACTGCTGAACCTGCCTAACATCATAACCTGGAGAAAACTTATCTTGAAATTTATGTGGACAGACGATGGCAATTACCGGTCAGGATTTTTGTCCTCTAAAGATGTATGTACAAAGTATCAACGAGTCAAGAACTTTGATTGCTCTCTACAGTGAAATTATTCGTAGTGCTGAAGAAATATCACGCCCGAAGATAAAGATACATGATTCTTATTCAAAAACGTAGTGAAATAACCAACCAGGTTACTAGGTCATGAGACTAATGAAAGCATGCATTGTTACAACTACTAGCTTCAAAAGTCGCGCCATTGACACATTTTGTAACTAAGACCATAAATTCAGCCTTTTTCAAACGCATTTTTCAGAAAATCAACAATAAAGTGTATTTCTAGTACTTACTACGTAGTCACCATGGCATCGTGTCTTGTTGTACTGATCTGGACTTTGCGTAACTTAGCTCGAGTTTGAATGGATCTGAGGGGCTCCTGATTCTTGTGGTATTATGCACCAATGAGATATGGCGGATTATGATGGTGGCGTTCTAGCTGTTGGAATAAATGTAGATATACAGAGAACAGATGGTGAGTACATGAAGTCTAGTGTGAGGAATTGTGCCCATAAATACTTCGTCCATATCGGGTAAAGTAAACAGTTTTGACTATCGAAACGAGAGGATTGTATGTCCAGTGTCTTCGGAACTCGTAAAACAATGTGTGAACGTCTAAGATGTTTGAATATCTTGCTCTAAGAAAATTTAGAACTGTATGAGTATAGAATGTGCTTCATAATTTTCTAAGTAATGCTTCATTGATTCCAAAATATATATTACTTCTAAGTCGGTTGGGAGATTTCAAATAAATTTCCTGGTGACATGTTAAGCAGTGTTTTTGTGGGTTATTAGTAGTAGAGGTGCTGCATTGCCAAGATGACAAAGTCGGTTGTCCAGTAGTCTTTACATTCTGGTTGGAGTATTTTCCGTAGGTCCTTGGAAATAATTCCCTACTCCAAGTCTTTAAATTGGCACTCCATGTTGGTGGAGCAATCTGTTTCCAGCTTACGGGTCTCAGGCTTAAATTATACCCAGACTATACGACTGGGTGTTGCCTCTAACAAAGTACCGACTACATAACACCCATCATGTTCCCAGTATTATTTATACTCAGAATAGTGGTTTCAGTCTTTAATACCACTGGCTCTCAAGAGCTATCAGTTATCCATTGTGCAGGCTTGTGTTCACTCGGTAAGCTACAACTCACCAAATTTTAACTTAGCTCAAACATACATCTAATTATCTTTATAAATTTTAACAAACCTAGGAAAACACTGGTGACTAGTGTTTGTTACCTAGTATTCTATGATAAAAAACACATTTAAACACCTGAGGTGAAACCACGAAATTAAATGAGTTTTTAATCGGGCTCGTTCTGGCTTTATTAATTACTGAAAGCGAGTAGTGGTGAGACGAGGGTTTTCTACGTACATATGATGAATGCAGGTAATGTACATCATACTAATTTTATGGACTAACTCGGTGAATAACCATCAATTAAGTATTATTCCTTCAAAAAGTTTGGTAGTTGAGGTGCATCATGACGTGTGTCGTAGTCAACCCGGCTAGCTATTCGTAATGAGGTTAAATTTGGGATTTGATCCAGTTTATCATCTAAAAAATAAGTTGACTAATGAATTATCATGTGTTGTTATTTTTCTTCATTGTACATAATTTTCACGAGTTATGTATATTCTTTGGTCTAAACACATGCTTAAAGTTCTTTACAGGTATTGTTTTCATGACTTGTGTCTAGGTCGTGTACATTCGGCTATTGTAAGTGGTATTAATCCCAATACAAAAAGTGTGACAGTAGAATGGTATGAAAAAGGAGAAGCTAAAGGAAAGGAGGTTAGTACGGTATTGACTGATTTGGTGCTGTTTTAACATTGCAGTTAACTCTGTTTGTTCTTAAACGGACAGTGATGCAACAAACTTTTGTCATAACTAGAATTGATTAACTGAAAATAGCTGTATTTCTAAGTAAATAATCAATGACGAATATTACTGGTTAGTCAGTGAGTCATTGTTAACGTAGACATCAGCATGGCCTGGCACAGGTGCGTGTTGCCTTAAGTGACTGTACCATGTTAGCACTACTCAATGAAGTGAACGGAATGAATAGCAAGAGGTCAAAATAATTTAGTAGCAGCGAAAATGAGAACGAATAAGCAGTGAGAATATAAGTCGAAAAGATGATGTAAAGGTATGTGTGAAAGAATACTTGAATTTAAGGAAAGATCAAGATAACGAGTGAATGGAACTGGACCATTGTGACGCATTACAAATCATTCCATTCAATCTCCAGCCACTAGTCGTGATTATATGCAAGTCTAAGATCTCTGCTTAAATTCTAAGCTCACTGATAGTATTTTAAGATTTATGGACTTGGACATAGTTCTAGGTCTTACTAATCGTAATCCTAATAATCAGTTAGTCTGAGAATGATTTCAATTTAAGTAATGCAGATCAGGGCAAGTTCAAAAAGTTTCCTAATGAGGGTAGTAATCTAAGAGTTTAGCTATCTGTTTACTAATCTATTTAGATTCACTAACAAATGATCACTCGTATATATGCTGATTCGCAAACACGGGGATCGAAATGTCACTTATCGATTGTTAGTAAGGTAACGTTGATATTACTCTTAAAATATCTATAGTCTGCTTTGCTAATACCAATAACGAGCTAATTTAGTTTTGTAGTGTATAAAATTACCCAAAGATCGGGCATGAAAAACGATCACATTGAAAAGGATGATGGAATCCTGTGTAGCCGTTTAGGCATATATAATTATGTTATTTGCACTTTGTAGAAGTAAAAAACAACACTACTGATTGCTTTCTCAGTCCTTCATTTTATTATTGTTAGTAAAATTGATTATGTGAATGATTTTTATAGTCATCCAATTTCTTGGTTTTATTTTTTTCTTTGTTCAGATAGAATTGGAAGCAATACTTCAATTGAACCCGAATTTAAGATATTCATGTGTAGGTCATTTTTATCTAAGGTTTTGCACTGAGTACACCTTTTCTCTTAACATTAAAAGTCAATGACATAGTATTTACTTAATCGAAATCTTCAGGCACTTCGGTAGTACTTACTTGCATTAACCGGATTCGTCCGTTTTCAGCGACTGCCAGATATCAACCTGTAGATTTTCATTTTTGGTGAGTACCGGCGTCTGGATGGGATGTAATAGCAACAACGTATGTATCACTGTGAGCAAGTTTCATTTAACGATGTTATTGAAACCAGGTGTCAGACACTGAACTAAGATCTAATAGCGCAAAGATTTTTCTCGGTTACAAATTCTTATAGTGTCTATCTTAATGAAAGAAATACTGTTGAATGTTTGTAAGCCCCTAAAAAATAAACATCTACGTACTTTATGATTATCATTTTCGTAATGAAACCCGTAAGTTCACTTAAGTTACTGTAACCCGTCGGTAGTTGATCCTATCTTACGCATAGGAAATAATGTTGATTATAGTTCGTTTCTTCAAGAGTATAGATGGTCGATTCACAAGATCACCTTTACAAATTCACTCTTTTTTTTACTGTCACGCAGTTACTCCTGCTTTCTCCCATCTTCTTAATTGTTTGGTCAGAGTTATTGAAGGTAAAATGTAAATACGGTTGTAAGCTGTTTTATGTTGGGTTCGTTCTTGTCAATTCTGTAGCCGAGCTACTGCATAACGTGTAACCTCGTTTTCTTTAAAATGAGAAGTCATTAATAGTTGCTTCATAGTGCGATTGGGAGGGACCATACATTAACTAGCAGTTATACTAAACAAATAATTTAATTACAGGTGTATTGGTTTTTACAATTTCAGTATAAATATATGCTTTTACGAATTTTGAATTGGTAGTCAAATGCTATAATTTTTTCCATATCAACTGCAAATTAAATTTTTAGCCCATCGTAGATAATGTTTATGGAAATGCTGATATCAGTCGAAACAATTTAGTTAAAGAAGTTCCGAATTCCTCACACCGTCCCGGAGTCAATCTTCCTACTGATATACGGCAGTCTCAAAATTCTGTTCCTGTGGCGGCTTCTGCTTCTGTTCTCGCTCCATCTGGTAACAAAGTTAACGCCACTCAAATAGAATACTCATCTAGTAATCAATCTCGTTTGATTGCCCCATCAACACGCGTTCCTGTCCCGTCTTCTCGTGTGCCTATTGGCCATGTTCCCACTCGCTCTACAACAATATCTGCCTATGATGACCGTACAAATAACTCTTCTCGATCTCAAGCTCCTCTCCCGGTACATAATTCTGTGGATATTAGTCACACTCACAATGAAGGTTTGTTTTTTCCCTTATAAGCATGATTTCGGAAATAATTTAAAGTTCGTTTGTTGGGTAATTCCATGTATGAAAGAACTAAAACCTTACAGAGTAGTTTATCTAATATCAGTTTTATTTCACTATGTGGTAACAAGTTTATATTAATTTAGTTTTGTGTAGGAGCCTAGCAATCACTTATACTTTTGTACGACTGAAAGGCTTAACTAAAATCATCGATTCAAACACTTAAAAGCCATAGAATGACGATATCTATCTATTAAATTTTGAAGATGTGTGTATAAACTGTAATTCTTTGGAATCGGGCATGTTAAGTGCGCCTAATATTCTCTAGTTACATTTTGCACCGATCGAATGAAGTCTAGAAACAGTTAAATTCTGTGATATTTATCGAATTCGCAAAGAGTTTACTTCAGACTCAAATCACGTAAAAATAGACATAGAAGGCACCTGGTTATGAATTGGTAATTGTCTGGAATCAGAAATTGACCGAATGGGTTGCGTAATGATTGAAGAGCATTCGAATAGCCTACATAAGTTTAAAGAATCAAGTGAATGAGAAAACCGATGGATGAAGGGATGATCTTAGTTTATGTAGAATAAGAATTAGTTTAGCGAAGATGTCATAACAAAATAAACACCAGTAATCATAATAATAACAACGACAACAAAAAAAGGTTTACCAAGGTAGGAATAAGTTGATTACTGTCTCTTTCGGGACACAAACCAGGTTTGTGTTTCTTTATTGCTACTGCTTCTGTCTGTCACTACTGTCTGAAGTGTCGGTTACTGTGTTATCTAGGAATTTGGAGTACTTTGTGATTGGTTGAAAAAAAGTAAATCCGTTTAATTCACACTGGCAACATACAATTAGGTTCCTTTTGTGATGAGTAACCTGAAATTAAAAGTGGTTATTTGTTATTGATGCATGCACACATTAAATTCACTTCAACAAAGTTTAGAATTAGGGAAATAGTTCTTAAACTTAAAATATCATTGTATTTATTAGTAGAAAGCTAGATATCTCGTTGTGAAGAATCTAATTAAGTAATTCGTTGACTGATTGATGCAACTCATTAACCAAGTACAGATCTATGTACTCATCTTTCAATCATAAACTGTTACTCAAATTGATTTAGAAGTAAACACGTTTAAACCTACAACCTCACATCTAAATAAACATAGATTTACTGTTGTAAAGTATAACCATAACATGTTTCACGAAATTGTGATCTCGGAAATTTATAATTGAAGCTAGACATTAACACCGCTGGGTAGCGGCTCAGTGGTCTAAAGGTCAAGCGTTCACGCGCGAAACTGATAGGTCCTGGGTTGGAATCTCGCGGGTCGGAATCGTGGATGCGCGCTGCTGAATCATATATTAGGATGAAACGACCGTCCAGTGCTTCCAGGTTTTTGATGGTGGTCTAGTCTCACTTGACTCATGAATTCAAGATTTTATTCAACACAAATATACACTATAAGTCTTTCCTATTTTTCATGCTTAAATATACGTGATCCAATCAATACTAGACATACATTATTAGTAAATGTAAATACTGTCTCACTGACATCGTAATGTTTCATTCTTTACCATTGTATATCATTCCTGTGAAGATATTGTTCTTTTTTATCATTCTTAAAAATCTTTACCATTTGTGTTGCCTACATATTATACACCTACAGATGAAACATTTATTACACAATGCTATTAGTCATACTCTCATTATTATTCCACATTATCACTGCGAAATATAGATTTATTTAGTATGTATAAAGTCGATATTGTTTATGCTAAGATTGTTTCATAAATTTGTGCAGGTTAAATAACAGACAAACATTTTTATTTAAGTAAAATATAAAGTGTTAGTTGATTGCGAATTAGTAACTAATGACATCACGAAACTGGTAATAAAAGCTCAATCGGCTTCTGCTAACTTATGACACAAGTGAGATGTGTATCTGATTATTAATTAGTATGTAAAACATATAAGTTTCAACTCATTTTTTACTTTACGGTTGGAAAATATGAATTTTTAAAGTAAAGATTGGTTAGTATTTTAGGAGCATTCCTAGCGCCAGGTGAAATCCCCGAGTAACTAATGCTAAGGTTAAATGTGGAGTACTAGGTAGTGACGTTTAGTCGGTTAGTGAAGTTGTAAATCTTGATCGACTGAGATCATTGGGACATGTGCCATACGTATCTACCCGCCAACTACTCTGACGTGCTCACTTTAGGGTGTGCTAGAAAAAGGTTGAGGTTCACAAAGTAATCACCATCTGTAAAAACTAGTCGCACTAGAGCAAGTGTATCCATGTAAAAAAAACTCGAGTAATTTTTCCTCATAATCTATGAAGTATGACAACCTATGCAGGTATCCATATATGACATTTCATTTTGTTCAGACCTTTATATCTGTTTATATTACGCCTATGTTTTACATTCATATAATTAGGATTCCGTTATAATGTACATCAACATCGTGCAATTTCTGATGAGCCAATGGATGAAGATCTGGAACCATCAGAATCTGTTCAACTGGACCTCAATGATTATAATCATGTGACCAGTATGTTACGGGAACCTGAAAATAATACTTTACTCACTGAACGGATGGAACAGGATATCGGTGATGTAATTGAAGATAACCTTCAATCAGGAATAATCAATGGGAACCGTGGCTTTGCAGGTGATGCTTCTCGCCGTCTGATAGGTACGAAACATTGAAATAAAAAGAACATGTCAGATTATAACTTCTTATTTTTTTTCACATTTATAAACATTGGCATGATTAAGTTTTGATGACCGTTGATGCACAGTGCAAATTGTATACTCAGTAAAAATTATTGGATGAAATGAAGAGTCATTAATCACTTTGTCTTCAATCCCATTTTCCATTGGTCATTTTTTATCTTATAAATAGCTCGTAGTCACTCTATTATGGCATAATACTTGGTATATTAATGAGAGTTCTAATTTCTCAATATTATATGTCCAGTCAGTTAACTTGATTTATTTTTTCTGGTTAGCGTTTTTTAGCTAGTTAGTTTTCTACGGGATGGGGTCGCTAACGCCATGCCCAACCCTCCTTTTTCAGGGCCTAGGGTCGGCAGTAACCTCAGAGGGGCTCCGCGCGGAGTTAGTCAGTTAACTTAGGGGGTTCATTTTCTAAAATTAATGCAATTGAGATTTAAGCATTAATCTCGTAAAGAAAATCACCAATTTGGTTACCTCAGTTATTTCTATATTGTGCTTAAATTAGTTGTCATATCGGTTATTATAGAAAACCAACACCTAACGAACACTATGACGCTAAGATTATGAAGTACATTTTGTTACAGCCAATCTAGTTGTAATGTAAAGGGAAAATACAAAGTGTTGATGTATTGCTTACTACCAGAGGGGATGGGAAGTTAGCGATTGAAATGTAACGTAATAATAAGTAAGAAGAAATTTCAAAATCATCTCAGTCAAAATGTTTTCAAATAAGTAAGAAAAACGCAATTAGTTAATAAATTTTTTTTAAATAAGAACTTTTAGTGGGACTTGAATGACCCAGTTTGCTATGTTATTTCACTGACAATTGAAGGTTTTGATAGACATGGAATCAATATTTTATAACATTGGTCTGTGACCGAGTTTGATTGAATTTTTGAAACAAGCTTTCTAATAAAATCATCTGATTTTGGTTGTTATAGTTCCAGTAACAAGTGTTTAGCGCCGGTACACATCACATCTTGTAATTTTCATATTATGCTTGTGTATATGAATTCGTTATGCATGCTATTTGATCTTTAGGAGCTATATAGTACATATGTGTTTACTTTTCCATATTAAAACAATTTGACGTCAATATGCTCTCAGTGTAGAGTTGTTTAAGTTTTTTCTTTGGTTGTTACTTTCAACTTAGGTCGCGCAAATTCTAATTTAGGCGCACCTATTGTAAATAGTACATTGTCTGCACTGAATACAAGTTCACCTACTACTGCTCCTGGTGTTAACGCTGGTGCCGCAGGTGGTAGTGGAACTCTACGCAAGTCTAATTGTGTGAAAGAAATCGAGCGAATACAACAGCGACGTGAAGAACGACGTGCTGCCCAAAAAGCAGTTCGTGATCAAATTGATTTAGACCCAACCAATCCTAGTTATGAGTTTCATATGATGATTCAGTAAGTGTTGTGTTGTATTTGTGTTTTTCCTATTAATGGCCGTCGATATGTCATCGTTTTGCTTTCATATAATCATAATATCACATATCAAAATTGTTTCATTATGAGTTCTCAGTTAATTGAAGTACTGAAAGCAAAAAGTACTGCTTATTAGTTTGACTGTAATTTTTGAACTTTTTGAGATCAAATTCTGACATCCTGAAAAGCTATTTGACAATGATTAGCTGGTAATTCACCACCATTCATCCGTATATCCTTTCGCCCCTCTATCTATTTATCCTCTACGTTCACTTGTATGTTCGTTAGTTGTACTATTCTTCATATCAATTTCACTTTCTACATCGTTTAATATTGTAATAATATATGTGTCCTCAAATTTGTAACTCATCCATTTTCTAATGCTGATTACATATGAGGTGTCTAGCATAGTTTTCATTGATGATTTCATTTCCAGGTCTAGCTTCCACTGTACTTGCTTTTTTCATCTGGCAAGTTCTGATACTCTACAATGGTGTGTTCATAGAATACATGTGTTCACAGCTTTAGATCATTGAAATAAAATCCTCAATAAAAATTATGTTCACCCACTAAATGAACAGAAAAGTACTTGATAATGCTGAATATTTTACTTTTATTGCACATTGAAAAGTATGGTTAATTTGATGTCAAGCAGATAACCAAGCTCAAAAAGTTTTTTTAATTATTTTTAGTGAATATCGAAATACATTGGAATACAGACCCTTAACCAATACAGATTTAATAGAAGATCATCAAATATGTGTTTGTGTACGTAAACGTCCTATGAACAAAAAAGGTAAGTTATACTGTTTTGTCTTTAAAAACACATGAATTATCGTTCGATCATCAGTCATTTGGATTCATATTTAACATGATGAGTATTGCGAGGGATTGTTCAGGTATAAAATGTGACTATACGTATGTCTGTCTTTATGACTCAATGTTTGTTAATATTTTGAGCCTCCATATTCATTTTATACAATCGAAGATACGTTCTGAAGTACAGCCATTGTTTACTTCATAGATATTGTCAATTATATGTTGTATATTACATATTCATATTTTCCACCTACAGTGTACTTAGAGTTCAAGTATCGAAAAATATAGAAGTCTTGGAATTAGTTAAGCTGTCAATATGTCGAGAGTTCTGTGTACCAGACACAATACTATTATTTTTAAACTGATTGTATTGTTGATTGTAAGAAAATATTTCAATTTTTTTCATTTATAATTTTAATAGAACTTGGCCGTCGTGAAATTGATGTGATCACAGTCCCGAATAAACAACATGTACTTGTCCATGAACCAAAAACTAAAGTTGATCTAACGAAATATCTTGAAAATCAACAATTCCGTTTTGATTATGCATTTGATGATACATCGGATAATGAACTTGTAAGTTCTGTATTCTTAGTATTTTCAACTGGTAACATTAATAATGGTCTTGGAGTTGGTTAGAAAACCTTTGTACTTGTGAATACAACAAAACAAAAATCTTTACGAATGATTTTTTAAATTGACTAATCATTGGATAATAGTAACCACTGTCATATTCGTCTCATCCTTAGTGGTAGTCGTATTCTATCAATTAAACATATAGGAGATTCTATCTTTTTACAATTTTCGTCTACACGTCGACAGATTGCAGCTTAAATGAACTGAATAATGGATCCCATCTATAACCAAATATCATCAAAGCGCGTTCGAGAGATACTGTATTAGTTGGGGATTTCAATAAATGGTTCAGGTGTTTAGGGACAAAGAAGAGTCGTTCAATTGGTTAGTGGGAACTACTTTCTGCAGCTTTGTAAAAACCACGGATGTTCCTAGTCATCATCAGCTATCATTTACTGATAACACATATATGTACTAGATTGCCTACAACTACTTTTTAATCACTTATGTAAACCCTTATGCTTTCGCATCGATAAAAAGAAGAAACTGAAATTCAAAGTTAGTTGTCAACTTATCAAAATAGTGTACATGAACGCTGACTCCATTTATTTTGCCAAAAATGATCTAAGTAAATGCTTTTGTGGCTACACAAAACGCTTCACTTCACATAGGAGTCTCAAACACGTAGGAAAACATTTCTAATGACATTTTAAGTGTGAATAATTTTTCTTCTTGTTGTTGTTACATTACGTATGTTTTTAATAGTTGATTCGTTAGTAAAAAAGACCTTTTTATTTTCTTGTATGCTGTCATCTTTGATGCTTAAAATGGAGTAAGCTACTAACCCCTTTCAAATTCACATAATACATTTATTTACTTAGGCCTGTTACCCTCGTGGAGGAGAATAAACCGCCTGCCGTCACTCTCCATCCAATTCTGTCCTGGTCAATCCTTTCCACTTGCTTCCAGCTGCTATTCATATTTTCCATGTCTGCTTCCAATTCCCGACGTAGTGTGTTCTTTGGTCTCCCACTTTTCCGTTTCCCTTTAGGATTCCAAGTTAGCACTTGCCTCGTGATGCAGTTTGATGATTTCCACAATGTGTGTCTTATCCATTTCCATGTCTTTTCCTACTTTCCTCTTCAACTGGAAGGTGGTTTGTTCTCTCTCACAGAAGGCTATTGCTGATGGTATCCGGCCAACGAATATTGAGTATCTTGCATAGACAACTATTTATAGATACTTGTACCTTCTTGATGATGGTTGTAGTGGTTCTCCACGTATCAGCTCCGTACAGTATGGCTGTTCTGATGTTCGTATTGAAGATTGTGACTGATATTGGTTGACAGTTGTTTTGAGTTCCATATGTTCTTCAACTATAGGAATACTGTTGTTGCTTCGGCAATCCTTGCCTTTACGTCTACGTTCATGTACTCATTGGTTAATTGCGAATGAATATTTGTAAAATTGTTTAACATAATCGCTGTTTTGAGTTGTTTTATTATTTATTTAAACACATGAACATTAGTACAAGGAGGCACCAAATAGATATGCGCCACATAAGTCATTCGATTTATGTGAAGGCTGGGATACTGCCCTTGTGCCCAGTCCGAAGCAGGTGGTTTTCATATTGGGCTAATCCCGGAGCCTTCGACTTGAAGGTCTAATCCACAAGGTAGTGGAACAACGTAAGGAGATACGGTTCCATGTTAGCCGGTGACCAACGATTGGTTCGTACGCCATTTGTTCCTTTAGGATACTGGAGCCTATGTGCACCGTTGGTTTGGAACGACGGCTTTCCAACTCTCCTAGGTGGATCTTCCACATCCACCAACCTGGTTAAAGCGCCGGACATTCGATTTTCGTTCTCTCAATTTCGTAAACAATACCTCAGTGGCGATGAGGCAGTGAGTATGACTTCCCTGGCATTGGTTTCTTTGGATTAATGTAATTGAAAGTCAACAGATCGTATTATTTGTTTGAATCATTGATCTAACAAAATTTTTGCATGGTTAGATAAATTTTTATTTTGTTAGATTATTCACATGTTTAATTTGTAAATAACACAAAACCTGTTCAATTGACCTGATATGCATAAAATAAGATTTATCTAATAAAAAGAAGAAAAATGAGATTTTTTTAACTAGAGTTAATAACTATTTCTATTTGCTTACATATCATATAGGTGTATCGGTATACTGCAAAACCTTTAGTAGAATGTATATTTCAGCGTGGCATGGCCACATGCTTTGCTTATGGTCAAACAGGATCTGGGAAAACACATACAATGGGTGGTGAATTTCATGCTCGTGGTCAACAAAATTGTTCTAATGGAATTTACGCCTTAGCAGGTAAACTTTTGACTATTCACATTGATAATCATCTTAATTATACTTAGTGAATATATTTTTCTGTAGAGTTTTATCAGTTTCAGTGATAATCACCTTAGCCAATAGTTGGACTGTTTATTTCACTTAATGGCACATTGGTTTATCATTTTTTTTAAAAATTGGCGAGGATTTCGTTACTGTGAAGGGACTCAGTGGGTTTCTGGAGTACTCTGCTAAGCCCACCATAGTAATTATGGAAGTAGATTTTCTGAAAGGCATGATAAATGGTTGCATGTATTTGATACTTGAGTTTCTTTTCATTTACTTTTTATTTCTCAAAAAACCCAGATAAGGGTGATCCTTCTATATGGATTTTTTGGTAATTGGTTTCATGATAATTACATGAGAACTTGCGGTTAACATCCATAATTACATAGGTAAAATAAATTTAAAACAGAACCTTCATTTCCATTTACAATTGATCGATCACTGAGTGATAACCAATGTCATGCACATTAATTCTTTCTTTCTTTCTTGATTGAATTCTGTCAATTAAATTGCAATATGGTCACTAGTCTAGGTGACATCTCGTATACTATATTGAGATTCAAGGTGGTAAATGGAAGCTGTTGACAGGAAACCCTGTTTGACCTAGGTTTCGTGCTAATTGGCAACCTAGTAGACATGATGTCCAGTCACTTAGACCAGTAGCCGCATAGCGACTTGTTCGATTAAATCCAATCTGCTATAAGAACGACTTGACATTGGTAAATAATCAGTGATTAACCAGTTGTAAATATACCTCAATCCTACAGGTTGTCAGTTGCTGCTCAAATAATTCACTGGTTATGTTCATGACTATGAAGATTGGTGACATGAGACCATATCTGCCAGGGAGCACCAGTCTCCTCAATCTTACAGGTACACCTTGATGACTTCTTCATTTCTATAATTGCACAGTAGATAAAGAGTAAGAGAAGTTTAATAATGCTATCATAGTGTCCACACGCATTTATCACACATCCTCTTTGATATTCTTACAATTTTGGGCTTGCTAAGTTAATTGTACATCAAATCTTCAAGATTGTTTTGATTATATTATTGGGATTCTTCTAGCAGTTATTGCTTTAGTATTGTAACGCAACAGTTAATTAATCAAATACAGAAACGGTTTAATCAATAATCATTTAAGCTACTGAGTAGATAATGGTTCGCAAATTCAGACTTCATTTCTCAATCAAACATGTACATAAAAACAGAACCACTGGTTGTCTAAATGAATTGTATCTTGAATGTATACAACCAATCCATGCACCATGTATGCAACCACAAATTTTCGTTGTAGTTATTTACATGGATAAGAGTTCTTAATGATTATTTTATCGTATTTTTGTTCAGCTGCTGATGTCTTCGATTTGAATACAACTACGTATAGGAATGAGAATCTTCGAATTGTTGCAACATTTTTCGAAATATACAGTGGGAAAGTATGTGTCTCTTCTTTTTCTTTTTCTTCTTATTTTTAATGAGTATGAGTTACTCATTCCATGCTTTTTTTCATTATTTTCATAATATGCATACTTGTTTATACACCTCATTTATATTTAGTCATTCATTCATAATCAATGTTTAATTTGCTGTAAATGTATGTTGGCCTAGGCTGCCAGACCACTCTGATATAATGATAGGAAATGGATAAGATGATGGCGAAAGGGTGGAATAAAATAATGTCGTTAGGTATAGTCTGAAAGACTAAGCAAAAAATGTGTTTGAACTCCACTGGTCACAGCTTCTCACTAGAACTTCGGGGATTGTATTTTAAAGCTAGCCACTAATAAACAGATGATTACTATTAGTATAGGGGGATTTGTAGAGACTGTAGGATTTTCACAGTTACCAAATCATAAGTTGGTCTTAGCTAAACCGCCATTAAAAACATGGAAGCACTGGACAGCTGTTTCGTCCTACTTCGGGACTCATCAGTGCTTGCCCACAACCCCATCATAGGCAATCGAACCCAGGATTTTCAGTCTCTCGTGTGAACTCTTTACCGTTAGACTACGGAATTGGGCGGGATTCAGTAGCTTCAATGTCTAAACTCAAGGTTTTTATGGTGATGAATGAATGAACCACCGTGACCGATTTCGAGCCATTTTACCTAAAGTCTCCAGCTATTGATCAAAGTTATCGTGTGGGAACCTCTATCACGTAGCCTACATCTATCAACACTATCGAAATTAACAATTGACATCGCATCTTCACTTAATTGCCTTTTACTTTTAACAATCTGCCTTAGAAGTTATCGTTTCGCGTCAAAGTAGGTGGTGGTTGTGAATATGTAACACATGTCGCAACCACTTCAATTGATGGTGACTCGTGGTGTTATCAACCAACATTTTATCTCAATTTAATATTCCAATTGTTTCACTGTATTTATTTATTTTAACACATATTGGTACAAGGAGGCACCAAATACATATGCGCCACACAAATCTTATTTGATATGTATGAAGGCTGTGATACTGCCCGGGTGCCCAAACCGAAGCAGGATTGTTTCACTGTACGGGAGATATATTTCAAAGGTGTTAGCAAACCCTAGTAATTCGTTAGTCTCCTATACATTCAGAGGTTGCGTTTCATGGGCCTAAAGTAAAGTAGAGTGGATCACGTAGTATACCGACCCTTTAGTAGATAAATAAGTATGTAGATCATTCCTAAAGGAGTATTTCACACTGAAGGAGAAATAAACTCGTTGATAATATTCTTTCAGTTACCCTACATTACTATGTCGAGATAAATATTAAGCAGTGATGAATGTTCGGAACAATCCTGTCTGAGGTTATTGTTTATATATTTTTTTATTGTACAATTGTTAAAAACAAACTATTGTATCTTTGTATTCCCCTACTTGTAAGCTTTTGTTAGATACAGGAATTTTTGTGTTTTACCTCTCGAAATCCATCACTTAGTCCTCTTCCTCTTACGGCGTGACTGTACCCACATTATAATTTCCTAATTATGTTAATCTGTGGTTGAGATTTTGCTCAATTTTATGGTTTGAGTGATTCGTAAATTTGAACTGTATACTTAGACGTTGTTTGGTTGTTGAATTATTCTCTATTCTGGCCATCGGGCGAATGAGAATAGGGAACTGAATTTTGAACTCATGGTCGTTTGATATTATTCTCGGCTGTTATCTTATATTTATCGTGTCATTGTTATTAGATAGACAGACTAGACGAGCTAATCAGTACTCAGACTAGATCAATACAACTGCTTTCCTGTTTTACAGTTCAATCTCATAGGCCCAAATAAACTAAGCAAGAAAATCTGTTTGCTTTCAACGACATGTCAATAAAAAGCTGTATTCGTGGTCTTGTGCCGTTTTTGCTCATTCGATCTGTGTACGAAGTTATTGCATAAAATGTGATGTTACCAGTATTCCTCTGTGTATTTTGATTTTCTGTTTTGTTTGGATTATTATTAATGTGAATATTCTTGTTAACTTCTTTCTCTGTTTCTCTATCTCTACCTTTGACATTTTGATTTATGAACAAATATATTATTAATCATAATACATCTGTATAGATGAATATTAAACTGTATAATACTACCATGTGACTAATTTCTTGACCCATAGAGGTCAAGAAAAAGTAACATCAAGTAGATTATTCATGTAGAGGGGTATAAGAAAGAAGATTATACAAGAATAGTGTAAGTGTATTTCAATGCAGGTTGTAACTGTTTTGCATACAACTCTTATCTATAGATATTGAATTCATAGATTAAATTACATTTTGCGTGCGTGCGTGTGTGTGTGTGTGTTTACAAAAAGCATATTTATTTGAATGTTTATGTTTATTGGTATTACGTACAAAGGAATGATCCTATAATCTGATGACCTTAAAATTCGTTGACAACTACAAAAAATATTTCTCAGTTCAAATGTTTCACCTTATTTATGTATGAACTAGCTATCTCATAAAAAAACGATATTGCACTTCTCTATTTTAAGTAAAACATTGATAAACAACAAATGTTTCTGTATTCTATGGTTAATTTATTTTGTGTAGCTTTCATCTTTGTTTTATACTTTGTTGTTTCAATACTTTCATCCTATGAATATTTCACACTTCAATTACAATAGAATTTACCCTGATTAATAAAGAGACCTATCTGCGTTTAAGATTGGATTGGTGATCAGATTTGTCGATTTGTGATGAAAATCCTAATCCTAACCATCAAGTGTAAATCATAATTCTCATTCGTCACACAGGTTTATAACCCTCATTTGGTTCTAGTTATCAGGTGGATATCTTCAAAGTTACTTTAGATTCAGTCAAAGGTCTTCCATAAATTATAGTCTCACCTATCTAATTGTAATAAGAGAACTTTTAGCTTATCATCGTTTAATTTGTGATCTCAATAAATCGTGGTGTTTTGATATAACCTCATTTTAATTAGTTGTTGTTAAGTTTTCAATTAAATTGAGATTTGGAGATAAAATCAGGGTTTTTTTCTTTGTATGCAATTTGATCATGAATTGAAATATTCATAGAATTCGTTTTAATTATTAGGCTATGGGGGAGGGGAGAATTTTCAATTTTCTAGTGTAGTTATGTCATATAGCCCGTCAACTATCATATGATGATATTACCAATCAGAACATCAACTTATACGGCTTTGGTCCTGTGTCAAATTAATGACGCATCAAACAGCACGAACAGCCTACAGTCAACTCTAAGTCCTTACTGGTTCTTGTTGCCTAGCTCTGTCTGTTTGATTCCAGGACATAATCTCAACCTCCGCTGCATGAATCATGGATTTTAGACATACGTAGTTTATACACAAGTAGACCACACAACAGTCATACAAAATCAAGCCAAAAGTGGCTGTAAGTGTAAGAGACTGTAACTAAGAGCTTGGGAATAACTTAAGAATGGCCAATCGTACCGCAATATCCAATAGGTCAAATGAAGGCTTGTAATAAGAGAAATATAAATATACATAATCTAGTTACTTATTAGTTATCCAATAAGAATATATGTAATAATAATCCATAAATAGTACCTAGCAGTTACCATTCATTTATTCTTCGTTAGGATATAAAAAATGTTCGTATCACATAATTGTTTTTTTTGTTTACTTTCATTCAAACTTTTATGAACAGGTTTTTGACTTGTTAAATAAAAAAGCCAAACTTCGAGTTCTGGAAGATGCTAAAGGTCAAGTTCAAATAGTTGGATTACGTGAAGAAGAAGTGAATTCAGTTGATTGTGTTTTAAAACTTCTACAACATGGTGCACATATTCGAACTAGTGGTCAAACATCAGCTAATCAACATTCTAGTCGTTCGCATGCTGTCTTTCAAGTAAAACATATTAGGATTTAATAGTTTTACTCTATTCTTGTTGCATATATATATATATATATATATATATATATATATATATATACTTGGTACATATTTTCTGTTGCTTGGCAATAGAAACATTATTATTATAGAACTGTGGAACTCTGAAATATCAGTTGCTACCGATTCAGATTAACTTGCTGTAAGCAAGGTTTAGGTACACATTTTTGTAACATCACGTAAGGCTTTAAGTTCATCTCATAGCCAACTAACCTCGATACATTTCAGATGTATAGTTTATGTATGTTCAAATAATACAAGCTTTTTGCACTGTCCACTTTGATTGTGACTGAGCAATAAAGTGATTATCATCTGTAATAGCTTAATAATGATAATCGAAACAATAAACTGTAGATTCAGTGGTGTTAATAGAGATTTGTAGGTTGCTAGTATTTGATCATAGACGTGGCACTGTTGGACTAAGCCGTTTAAGTTGGTGCAGACTACCTAGTTTAAAGCTATGCAACAACCTCAATGAATGGTTAAAGATGTATGATATAGCTGAGATTCTGTTTTAGTGGCGTAGATACATTCATTCTTTGTATTTTACATCGTGAATCTCAAAATTTGTTTATCATTTATTCTTCGATACCTAATCGTTTCTACCACTGGTGCTGTCATTACTTCTTTAAGATTTCTCTTGAAAAGTTCATCTCATTGTGCTAATGCCCATATATGCTAGGTTCCATCTTACGTTTGATTGACTGACTGACTTAATGAGCTTAAGAATCTTCTAATAATGTAAAAGTTTGAGAAAATATATTTTGTATCAATCTCAATTTGTCCAATCAAATGTGTACACATATAAAATAACACCTTAATATACTGGGCTCGATTTACAAAGTCGGAAAATTAGGACAAACTGACTGATCTTTTTTGTTGTTAAATATTGAATAACTATTGTCTTTTTCTAATTGTCATATGATTGTCTAAATAAAATGTTTATTGACTACTCTAAATATAGTTGATTTTAAAAAAACAATCTACGGGGAAAATTCATGGTAAATTTTCACTTATTGATTTGGCCGGTAATGAACGTGGTGTGGATACAAGTAGTTCTGATAGACATACTCGAATGGAAGGCGCTGAAATTAATAAAAGTCTTTTAGCTTTAAAGGTAAATTAAGTATACATTTTGTGTTTGATGTATAAGATATCAATATTATTTTAAGAATATTCGTAGAGCGTTCATCAATTTATCATGTAAGTGTTGTTATCTAGCACTTGTCGGCAGTTCACGAGAAAACTCGCATTTCAAAGTTTATGGCGACCGACTTAGTTCTTTATCTCAATAATTAACTGATTTGATTTGACATAATATAAGTGAACATATTTCGATGTATAACCATTTTTGGTGAAGTATTAATCGACATACATGTTTCCTATGCTATTCACATAAGCATAATATTTCCTTAACGATTTAAATTTAAAATCACAAGCTGATCTTAGTTAGATCACAAGTGAAACCCTGACAGCGCTAGGTGACCTTTCCGTTCTACAATGGGACTCCTCAGCAGTGGGGATCGACGACTCCACATCAGAGAGTATAACCCAGGACCTTCTGTCGCGTGAGAATATGGCGTGTAGACAACTGAGCCCTATATGATTAGTTGTTTACATGAATATTATCGTGTCTATATTTGACACTACTTTAAATAGAAACTATGAACTGAGTAGAAAACATCACATTGTGTAATCAGTAATGCGTTCTTTAAATGCTAAAGTATGACATTTATCTGGTTAACACCTTTTTTATCAAAGTTCTTTCTTACGAGATAGGATAACTAATCTCATACACAACCCTCCTCTGTTATCCGGACTTAAGACTGGGAATAATCTTCAGGCTGTGTTATCCTTTGATCTATATTACTTAAAATATGTTTTGCGACACATTGTGTAAAAGGTTTTCTCACACAGTCCTTACCAAACTAAATATTTTCATGTAATGTGTCACTATTTAACCTCATTATTCCATTATTCTCCCTGGGTTTTTTTCTTGGTTGTACATGATTGAATTTGTTTTATTCATTGTCTCTTCTTGATGGATAAAGTTGCTCAATTCAGTTGATCTACTTGTATCAATTCATACTGCTTTATGCCAACACGTAAATATTTCATGTGTTATCTTAAGTAGTTTAAGTACACTACTTTTAGTGATTGATTTGAATGGCACTTAACTGCATTCGTTGCAAACAAAGATGTTTATCAATTCTATTCTATGTCTTTTCTTACATTTATTATGTAGAATTTGTTTAATAAGTGTACTAGTAATACTCCCTCATTGCTAACAGAGTTGTTTTTTGTTATTGAGAGAACTTAATCAGTGTATCTTTCTAATACTAATCAATACCTTTGGTTGAACACTCCTCCTTCATCTTCTTGACTAATCACTGTTGCATGATCACCTGAATAAATTTTCACGTGATTTCTTGCTTTCAGTATTCATGTTATGTATTATGTTTTACGTATTCCAATTGTTGGTGGTAGTGTTAGGAGAGGTTGTAAGCTTGATGTTAGTACTTCAAATTTAACTAAAATGTTCAATAGTAAGTTCATGTTACTATCAAACTCAAACAATAAACCTCTAAATGGTCAGCTGAATAATGGGCCTGTATAACAGGAATGATTTTTCAGGTTTTACAGATTGTTTTAATGTGTATGTTTAGTGAAAATTCCTATGAAACATTTTGTTTCAACGAAAAGTGTTTTTACTGAAAATCTTCCTTCTTTTTTCCGTGTCTAGGAATGCATTCGTGCTCTTGGTCGGCGTGGTGCACATCTACCTTTTCGTGCGAGTAAATTAACTCAAGTACTGCGTGATTCATTTATTGGAGATCGTTCTCGAACGTGTATGATTGCTATGATATCACCTGGTATGTCCAGCTGTGAACATACATTAAATACACTACGTTACGCTGATCGGTAAGATTCTTCTCATGTTCTGTGTGTACGTATGTTTATGTGATTAAATGTCGTTGAAGAATTGTCACCACGTTGTTTTAATATCATGGGTTATTTTTTAAAAACATGTAGTATTTTATCATTCTAATTTTAATTTCACTGGATCTCAGCAGCATCACCACACTGATAGATGCTCGAAAACTCATTCCACCTGGCTCTGAACATAATGAAGAGCGGAGTCAGCTTAAGCACAAGCTGACAATTAGTCTACGCAATGATCGCGAACAGTGGTGGGTAGCGAAAGCAAGAGAGATGGAAAAGGCAGTGGCAATAGGAAATAGCAGACAATTCTTCAGACTTGTTAAGGAAACCGACTGTTAGCGAAACGTAGTGTGAATATCTGATCTATACAACCACGTCCAGGTGGAAAACCAGCCTGATTTTCTCTAGTCTGCTCTTCACTAGCTTTAGTTAGGCGTCGAAGTATTATTGAAGCTAATATTTTAGATACTATATTTGTCAAACTGCGTTGTAACGGGTGGACTGCAGGTTAGATGCGCAGCGTATTTATCGATCGCTTTTGTGACACGTAAAACACGTAAGGACGACCTAGAGTCCCGATTGGTCCCGCTTCCCTGTCTAGCCCAGCCAGTTGAGTCTAGAACGCAAGTCACAGCCTCTGAGTTATGAATCATTATATTCCAGACATACTCTATTTATATACCAACCAAACAGACCACATCGTACCATAAAATAGAAAACATCTGTACAATATTTAACGAGTGAAATAAATAATGGCCAATAGGGAATGCCCATTTAGAGTCCAAGGTCATCATTAGACTTAACATGATAATTATTGGTATATTCCTCAGCATACCTAACACCTCCCGCTGCACACGTTACAGCAATTGGCGACGGGGTAGAGAAAATTTTGAACCCTGTAATTGGTCGAGATTCAGCCTATTTATTTTGGCCAATCAGCATTCAGATTGATCGTCTGTGTTCTTGTAAGTCATTGGTTGTTACTTGATCACAGTATTTCTCATTACCCTGCTGATTCAGAAAATGACTATCCTTCCCGATCAATTACAGCTACTACTTGATCGCCAACAGCAGCGTTTCAGAGAGAGCCAGTTGAATGTTTTGGGCAATTTACGCACGCGACTGCTAAATCTCCCATGTTTCGGAGATGTGAAAGAAATTGATGAATTAATTTCTCACTTGTATACTGAACTCGAAAATGACTGCAGGACGTATGAAGATGAAAACAAAAGCCTCTATGAATCCCTGATGACCAGTGATGTAAACGAGACAGTTATTCATGATCCGCCCAGTTGTCCGGAAATGTCAAATTCCGAAACATTCCCTGTCGTGGGTCCAAATCCCACTGTTCCTGAAACGTGTTGTTTATTTAGTGACCTATTATCCACTGATGGAATTTTGAAGAGGTCTGATGAATATGTTTCACAAGAATCAAACCTTAATGACCTCATATCTAGTGTCGTTGATCCTCATCATCTAGTCAGTTCTAGTGGACCCTCTACCGAATGCGGGAAATATGCTTTAAATAGAATCAGGCCAACTGTTACTTGGGTATATGAGGACCCAACATTATTTTGCAGGGGAGGACGGACGCAGAAAATTTAAAAAATCCGGATATCAACTCCGGATCTTCAAAAAAAGGGAGGTGTTAGGTATGCTGAGGAATATACCAATAATTATCATGTTAAGTCTAATGATGTCCTTGGACTCTAAATGGGCATTCCCTATTGGCCATTATTTATTTCACTCGTTAAATATTGTACAGATGTTTTCTATTTTATGGTACGATGTGGTCTGTTTGGTTGGTATATAAATAGAGTATGTCTGGAATATAATGATTCATAACTCAGAGGCTGTGACTTGCGTTCTAGACTCAACTGGCTGGGCTAGACAGGGAAGCGGGACCAATCGGGACTCTAGGTCGTCCTTACGTGTTTTACGTGTCACAAAAGCGATCGATAAATACGCTGCGCATCTAACCTGCAGTCCACCCGTTACAACGCAGTTTGACAAATATAGTATCTAAAATATTAGCTTCAATAATACTTCGACGCCTAACTAAAGCTAGTGAAGAGCAGACTAGAGAAAATCAGGCTGGTTTTCCACCTGGATCACTATAAGCAACAATGCGAGCATGTTCGGGATGCAATTCTCTCTCTCGAAATGCAAAATGTTACTGCAGAATTGGGTTGCATTGACACCCGAGCCAATGATAGGGAGTGAAGTAGTTGAGCGTGTCCACCGCTTCACTTATCTTAGAAGTCTCATGAGCCCTTGTGGTCTGGTGTGTGACGAAATCTCAGCACGGGTACAATAGGCTCGACTAGATTTCGCCAACTTGTGTCATTTATGGTGTAGGAGAGATATCCGTCTATCAACCAAAGGACGTGTTTACTGCGCAGCTGTTCGTTCCGTACTACTTAATGGCAGTGAAACATGACCGGTAAGAGTAGAGGATATTCGTAGGTTACTAGTATTCGATCATAGGTGTCTTCGAAACATTGCTCGTATATCCTGGGACCATCGAGTAAGTAACACAGTTGTTAGGAAACGGGTACTAGGTAAGGATAGCAAATCAATTGATGAAGTAGTGAAACTTCATCAGTTGAGGTGGCTGGGACATGTGTTACGTATGCCCAACCACCGACTGCCTTGATGTGCGATGTTTTGTTGTATAGGAGTAGATTGGAAGAAAGCTAGGCGCGGCCAGACCAAAACGTGGCACAAATCATTGAAGTCACTGACAAATGGACTTAGCCATGTCAGTAGGTGCAGACTGCCTGGTTGGGATTCGCGAGACGATAGTAACCGATGGTTAGAGACCCTGAATGACATGGCTCAAAATCGTTTGTAATGGCGCAGGTGTATTCACTATTTGTGTTCTCCCAAATTTTAATCTTCTGAATTCTTCAGGTCTCTTTCTTTTTTCTCTTTCCAAATTTATTTCACTGGATTAAACTCCTTGAATAACATCTTCAAGCCCTAATTTTTCTGATTACTGCTTATAATTTTACTACATCTAGCATTACGGGATTTGAATCGACCACTGCATCTCTGTGCAAATGTGGTGTGGCAACTCGAACTGATGTACGTACGTACGAAGTTCTACGTTGATACTGACCATTTGACTGAACCATGTAAGTAGGTGTTGATTAGCCTAGTCAGGGTCTGTGTGATTTTCCTAACTAATCACTTGTGACTTTCAGTGTAATGTATGAGATTCGTTTGCAGTACCATAAGTACATTTATTCCTAGCTTTCCTACAGAATCTGAGTTCCGGAATCTCGCTATACACTTTTTATTTTTCTATCAATATTTTTCTACTACTGATACTGTTACTTTGTCTACTACTCTGGTATGTGACTTGAAGCAATCTTATCTCACTGTATTAATGCTGTATCTTAGTTACAATATTCGTTGCTTATTTATTGTTTTTGTGATATGTTTTGCAATGCAATACTGTCATTATTACGATGGATATGATTTTCTCAAGTGAACTGTTGATTTCATATTATCGAATATATATGTATATCAGTCAGTAACAACGTAGAACTTCGTACATACGTACATCAGTTCGAGTTGCCACACCACATAAGCACAGAGATGCAGTTGTCGATTCAAATCCCGTAGTGGTAGAGGTAATAAGAGTATAAGCAGTAATCGGGAAGATTAGGGTTTGGAGATGTTATTTAAAGAGTATAATCCAGTGAAATAAATTTGGTAAGAGAAAAACGAAAGGGACATGAAGAATTCAGAAGATTAGAATTTCGGAGAACACAGAGAGTGGATGCACCTGTGCCATTGCAAACGATTTTGAGCCATGTCATTCAGGGTCTCTAACCATCGGTTGCTATCATCTCGCGGTCCCCAACCAGGTAGTCTGCACCTACCAACATGACTCAGTCCACTTGTCAGTGACTTCATGGACTTGTGCCATGTTTTGGTCTGGCCGCGCCTAGCTTTCTTCCAACCTACTGCTATACCACTGAACATAGCACGTCGAGGCAGTCGGTCGTTGGACATACGTAACACGTGTCCCAGCCACCTCAACTGATGAAGTTTCACTACTTCATCAATTGATTTGCTATCCTTACCTAGTACCCGTTTCCTAACAACTGTGTTACTTACTCGATGGTCCCAGGATATACGAGCAATGTTTCGAAGACACCTATGATCGAATACTAGTAACCTACGAATATCCTCTACTCTTACCGGCCATGCTTCACTGCCATTAAGTAGGACGGGACGAACTGCTGCGCAGTAAACCCGTCCTTTGGTTGATAGACGGATATCTCTCCTACACCATAAATGACACAAGTTGGCGAAATCTAGTCGAGCCTATTGTACCCGTGCTGAGATTTCGTCACACACCAGACCACAAGGGCTCATGAGACTTCTAAGATAAGTGAAGCGGTGGACACGCTCAACTACTTCACTCCCTATCACTAGTTCGGGTGTCGATGTAACCCAATCCTGAAGCAACATTTTGCATTTCGAGAGAGAGAATCGCATCCCGAACATGCTTGCATTGTTGCTTAGAGTGGTCAGAAGACTCTGCATTTTGTCAGCGTCTTCACCAAATAAAACTATGTCATCTGCATATTCTAAGTCAACAAGTGAACCTCCCGGTAGAAGTTCAACCCCTGTCAATTTAGATGAGGAGAGTGTTATCTCTAAAAGTACGTCAACGACAAAGTTGAACAAGAATGGGGAGAGTGGACAGCCCTGACGAACACCACTTGAGGTAATCAATTCTGATGACAGTTCGCCATAAGCTCTCACTCTACCAGTTGTGTTCGAGTAGAGAGCCTTTATAAGGTTAATGTACTTCTTTGGTACTCCTTTCAGTGACAAACACTGCCATAGAACCTCACGATCAACAGAGTCGAATGCCGCCTTAAGGTCGAGAAATACTACCATTGTGGGGCGTCTGAATGTGTGTCTGTGTTCCAGAACCTGACGTAGTGTGAATATCTGATCTATACAACCACGTCCAGGTCGAAAACCGGCCTGGTTTTCTCTAATCTGCTCTTCACGAGCTTTGATTAGGCATCGAAGTATTATTGAGGCTAGTATTTTAGACACTATATTAGTCAAACTGATTCCTCTGTGATTGTCACAGGAGGACTTATGTCCTTTCTTATAGACTGGCACAATCAGTGATTGAGACCAGTCAGATGGGATTACGTCCAGTTCCCAAATTCTACCTAAGACCTCGGTTAATCTCATTGCTAATACTGGACCACCATCCTTAAAAATCTCAGGAGTAAACCTGTCAGGGCTTGCTGCTCTCCCTCGTTTCAGATTTCCTATGGCTTTTTCAACTTCGTAAAGGGACGGAGGACCTACATTAATTTGCCATTCAGGTTGACTAGAGATCGTGGGAAACCGAAGTGTGGCTGAAGGCCAGTTGAACTGATCCCTAAAGTGTTCTGCCCATCGATCCAATCTCCTGGATTGAGAATGAATAATATGTCCATCTTTCTCTGAGAGTGTTTCTCTAACAGTCGGTTTCCTTAACGAGTCTGAACAATTGTCTGCTATTACCTATTGCCTATGCCTTTTCCATCTCTCTTGCTTTCGCTACCCACCACTGTTCGCGATCATTGCGTAGACTTATTGTCAGCTTGCGCTTAAGCTGACTTCGATCTTCATTATGTTCAGAGCCAGGTGGAATGAGTTTTCGAGCATCTATCAGTGTGGTAGATGCTGCTGAGATCCAGTGTTGCTCCCTAACCTTCTGGTTTACCTTACTAGCAGATATCACTGCTGTTTCCACAGCTTTTCGGATATCATTCCATGCTGCCTCAGGGTGGGCATCACATACATGGCTGCCTAACTGTTTTCCTAGTTGTTCCTGAAATATACTCTTAGCTTGACTATCATTAAGTAGGGCCCTAAGAGGTTTCCTTGCAGCATCTTTCTTACGTCCAGTAAGACGCAAGCAAATACGCGCTCGCACTAGAGCATGATCTGAATCTAGGCATGTGCTCCAGAATGAGCGACAGTCTTCTATCGAGCCCCTCCATCGGTGGCTGATAGCGATGTGATCTATTTGGGTCCAACGTTGGGACGAATTAGGGGGTCGCCATGTTAAAAGATGTTTTTCCTTATGCTTAAAGTTAGTATTTGCAAGGAACAGGCGGTTATCCGAGCATAGCTGCAACAGACGGTCGCCATTATCTGTTCTTTCAGCCACGACACCATAGGATCCACCTAGGTGTCTTTCCTTATCGCTTAGTTTACCTACTTGAGCATTAAAGTCACCGGCCACTATTACTACATCCGAGCGCTTAGCTTTTCGGAGAAGGTCCGAAAGCTTTCTGTAAAACTCATCTTTTACATCATCTGAGTTGCAGTCAGTGGGAGAATAGGCAGAGACGACGAAGAGGCAACGACGAGTGTCCCTATATTTTCGGATCCTTACTGTTCCATTCAGTCGGACAGCGCACAAACGACTGTCTACTGGGATCCACTCTAAGAGAGCTAGTTCTGCCCTAGGACTCAATGCTATACCTACGCCGGCGAGGCCACGGGAAGCAGCATCAGGGCTTCCAGATACACGAAGCGTAAATCGAGTCGGTTCTTTATTTTGGCATGGTGAGGTCAAATGAATGACGCTACTTGGATCCTGTATGCGCGTTTCGGAGACGCAGCACACATCGATGTCGCGAGATTCTAAAGTCCTAGCTAAGGAAGCCTGCTGTCCTATTTGGCAAAGTGTTCGTACGTTAAAAGCTCCTACGTGTAGTTTAGAGCGTGGTTCCAGGAGACCAGGAATAGCGTTCCACGTACTCGAATCGTTTGCTCTAGCGGTGCAAGGTGATAAAGAGATGTGAGGAGGGTTAGTCATGGAGATAAGAGAGGTATTAGGAGGTGTAGGAAGGATTTGAATGTGACCAACTTGGTCTCGTGTGCTGTTACGGGTATGAGGGCTGGTGTCACTTCCCGGCTGCCCACACCGTGGAAGGGTATTTCTTGAGGAACCTGAAAAGGAAATTGGATTAGTGTTGGTCTTAACGACCTGGGAGCGTGACCGCAGAGCCCAAGGGACAACTGCTCGAGGCCGGTCGCGCACGGCCTTTTCGTGGGTTTTTTTTTGACGTGTTAGCTCCGTTCTTCAAAGGGCCTTACCGCCGGAGACGGAGATCCGTGAGGTAAGGTGAGGTGTGACATTTTTAAGGTCGACCTTTTCTAACCCCACCCCTCCTTGTGGGAAGGCAGCATCGCTGTCATGCTGGTTGTCCGAGGGAAACACTTTACTGCTGTCACACCTCTCTACAGTTAGCAGTACGACTTCGCCCTCAGACCTTGAGTTGCTGCTTTTAGTCTTACCGTTCACCAATCGACCTGCCTGGCATGGTAGGACCTACAGGAACATATGTTCCAGCCAATATAGCTCGGTTGGGTCATCACGATAGGCAAGCCCGACCACCGCGTCAAGGTAGCAGCTTCGGTCGGGATATATGTATATATATCCATTTAGTTATTTTTAAAAACTTCCTTGCATTTTGTTATTTTATTTTTAGTGTGAAAGAACTTGGACCAGGAACTTTGTCAGCAAGTACGTTTTTTGTTTTGTTTAAAAGTCCTCTTCATTACAAGTTATTTAACATTATTGAATTATAGCTCACTTGCCAAATACCAGTTTCGTTTGTAGTTTTGAAACAGACACTATGTCTGAAGTTTGAGCAACACTAATTGTCCACTGGCTTAAACTGAGCTAAGCGCATCGCAATAGGTGTTATTCAAATTTAACACGTATTGGTCGGAAGTTGACTTAATTTAACCAGTAAGCAAGTGACCACTTTTAGAGAATTTCTGTTACTGTTAACTTACTAACTGACATGTAGATAGTTCTTCTATCTACTCCTATTCTTTGTAAGTAATCGCTCGTGCTTTCACTGTATCATGTATCATCCTGTAAGTGTTCAGGCTTGAAATCTTATTTCAATGATTACAATATCTAGTTGGTCGAGCTCAACTATTTATTCCCAGAATTTCGATGCCTAAAAAGCTTCCTTGAGTCGAGTTATGTGTTCTTATGCATGTATATACCTCAAAGTTTATAGTACACTAGGAATTATTACACTTCTTATTCGGTATATTACATCTTTTTTTATTTGACTAAAATATTCTTTTAGGTAACAGTAATACTGATCTACCAGCAAATGGTAATACTAATCAACCACAGTTATCATCTCGTAGTTCAAATTGTACTGTTGCTGGAGGCACGGTGCCTCCTCAAATCAACTTTCGGAATCCTCCAAGTACTAATATAGGTGAGTTTGTCAACTTAGTAATATGTTATCTTCTTTCCACCAAAAAATTTATAGGAACAAGCGGGAATATCTTGTCGAAAAATTATTACCCTTCATCCAATAATAATGATTTTAGTAATAACAACTGGCAGAATGATACATTAACAAATAATCATGTTAATTCAATTGCTGGCGGTGACGGTGATTTAGCTATGCTTCGATCAGCTAATGTAAGTTTTTGTTTGAAATTCGCCTCTATTTTATATTTGTTTGTTAATTTTAAATTGTATATATCCCGTAATTTTCTAACTTAACATTGTTGAAAAAGAAACACACCTTAACAAAACCTATTCTTTCGCTTGGTATTATTCAAAGATCCTTTTCTAATTACTATCATGTTTTTTAAAAAATAATTCTGATTCATTTATTCGTTTGTGACGAAGTTCATACTTGCCTCCGAATGTCCTGGCACGGCCGAGAGTGGGGAGAGTCAACTCTTCCTCTCGAAATTCTCTCATATGATCACGTGCATACAATCAGTATCAGGGAAGTCCTACTCACTGCCTTCTTGCAGCTTTACTGTTGTTTACGAAATTGAGAGAATGGAAAGCAAATATCCGGTGATTTAACCAAGTTGGTAGACACCGAGAGTCCACCTAGGGGAGTTGGAAAACCCTGATTCCAAACCAATGGTGCACATGGGTTGCAGTATGCTGAAGGAACAAATGGCGTATGAACCAATAGTTTGTCACCGACTACCATGGGATTACATCTCTTTACGTTGCTCCACTACTTTTTGGATTAGACCTGGTCAAAGGCTCTGTGTGTGGCCCCCTAATTAAACCACCTGCATCTGTTTGGGTACCCAGGCAATATCCCAGCCCTTACACAAATCGAATGAATTACGTGGTGCATGTCTATTTAGTGCCTTCTTGTACCAATGTTTGTATTTAAATAAATAAATAATGAATAAACGTCCATGCTTCATATAAATTATTGAATAAAAGAGGATATCATTTGAACAGAACTGTTGGTAATATCTTTTTACACACACACCTTTTAAATGTTATAGTTGAATGGATATTAAACTGAATAAGTTAAGCATTGCATATATTTTATACTGAGAATTGTTTACTACAACCAAGCATGTGACATTGAATGTGAGGCAGCTATCATTACTACTATTATTAGCTTCATGAAATTATCTTTTCCTTGTTATTCGAAGATAAAGTAATCAATTAACTCCATATCATGTGCTACTCATTGTTTACCAACTTTAATATAATGTAATTGAAATAGTGCAAATTTCATGATACTGATTATTTACTAGTAATCCTAGTAAATCGCAAATCTACCTTTATAGGTGTTATTTGTACTTCGTTTTGCTCTTTTCAATAGGAAGGTGAAGTACCTGAGGAAGTTCTTCATTTTCATGAAGTTATCGATCAGATTGAACGCATGGAAGAAGAAATTTGCGATGATCACAAAGCTGTTTGTCATGTAAGCAATCTTGCTTTGCCTTCGTTGATTAGAAATTTTAACTTTTGTGTTAAAAAGGTTTTATAGGGATATATAAATATAAATGGTTTTAAGGAATCGACATGAAACTTTGTGTAATCTGGTTTCCTGCCACCTTGCAATGGTCAGTAAGGCATGTCAGTAGCCAAGAAGGAGTGGGGTGAGTTGGAATTGTACAAGGAACACCATTTCCAACTGATTAACATTCATGCGGTATACGCCGTGTTGAATCACCTTGTACTCAATCACCGTAGATGAATGAAGTAGCTGACAATTGAAGGGAAATATCGTGCTACGATGCATTTGGATTAAGTCTGAGGTATTTTACTTCATATATTGAGCTTTATCTTCCATGAAATCGAATTCTTATCATCACACACAGTCAATGGTTTATTCCAAATTATATTACATTTCAAACTTCTTCCTGAGATGGTGGAGATGTGTAGCTCAGGTGGATGATTTTGATGGATTTTTGTTCTCTGAGCTGGATGTTTTGGTCGTCCATTAAAAACGTCTCCCTCTCTTCCTGTTTATGGTTGTCAAATGATGGTTAGGCACCTGAACTTTCTGAATCGTCCTTAAATTTCGTCTGCTACCAAACTCACCAAGACTGATGAGAATTTCAAGATAAGAGTTCAGTGCACTCAACCGATTCACTCGTTATTTGTTTAAGCTTTGATATAGAGCAGTTTCAAATATTCTTGGATTGTTGATCAAGATAATGAACAGACTAACTGCATTTCCTCGGAATCTTCGGCACAGAGAACTATGTCGTCTCGATATCCCAAAACGATAAGTAAATCTCCTAAAAAGATCAGTTCCTGAAGAAAATGTAATTTCTCGGACGCCATCTACGGCAAAGTTCAATAAAATAGAGGGCAGTTGATGACCTTATGGAACACTATTTGAGACTAACAATGCCAGTAACAATTCACAATAAGCTTTAAATTAGTCAATAGTTTCCGATTGAAGGGCCTTCGCAAGGTTTATGTATTTCAGTACACTTTTCAATGACAAACCTTGTCAGAGTCTAAAATTGCCTTCAACATGTCTACATCTAGATTCAATATAGTATATAAGTAATTTTTCGGAATTTACATTGGCAATCTTAAGGTAGTGGTCAATTGTATTGTTTTACAAACCCAGAGTTTTCATAATGTAATCTTTTTGTATACTCACAAAGTGGCACTTCAGACCAAGTTATTCATATATCTACGAACTATAACCTGCAACACAACAAATCTCATAGGGTAGTAGCCCATAGATTACGAAGTTAAAATTTGAGATATTACAATGTCTTGCAAAATACACTTGAAGTAATCATGTTTTCCTAATTGCAATTTTCAATTCCCTATACATTGCTGTGACTGTTATTTAGAAAGTCTAGTGCACATTGAATGCACAAAATGTACCTATGTTATAATATATATTTATAATATTTCAATGAGTAGTAAATCAAAAGCAAATTATAACTGGTATAATGAAAGTAATAGTTTAGAAATTGGAACTGGTTTTTTCGAATTATTATTATTATTATTAATCGTAATTTTGTTGTATAATCAATAAGTGACTAGATTATTATGTACATATATTCCATTTATCACAAGCTTTCAGTTGATTTATTAACTACTGTTGTACGATTTACTATTCTTAATTTGTTGCCAGCCTATTATTTACAATCTCGCCTAGTCATAGCCAATTTTGTATTTTTATTTTTCATTATATGATGTAATGTGATCTGTATGTCTGTATATAAATCACACCTGTATGAAATATAAGTATAGTAGAGGCTGGATGGTACTTCTAAACTTAAGGTCGGTTGTTGAGAGGTACTAGAGAATTGCTGACCTATGAGAAACTTAGTTGCCAGCTCGTCGATTCTGCTGGTTGGGTGTGTATTTGTGCAATTCATGGACACTTGGGCTATCAAGGAAATAGGATGTGCGGAACGGATTCTGATTAGCGACTGGCCTTGTTGATTTGGGTCTCAGCGGCCATAAGACAACGATAATTGTTTCATTTGTTGCTTGAATTATTTCACATTATCAATTCACCCTTTAATAACTACGGTTTCTCTGTCTTATTTTCTGTGGTGTCATGGATTTCGATATCATATGAAACTTATTTATGTACTCTGTTCTGAGCCATATTTTATACGCTGCTGAATCCAATCTACCAATGATTGTTGAAAAGCCGAATGCTTAAACTACTGATGTGTAGTAATGGTTGAGCGTGGAGAAATAGCCACAGCTTAAAGATCATTAAATATGTGATCTCCCTTCCTTTCATTAAATATCTCTACACTGGACTCACTGAGTGTGACGATTTGTAATTGTATTGAATATATTATTATCTAATATTAATCTACTTTTCTATTCTTAGTTGTAAATCCTGGATCTGATATAACGTGATTAGTCTTATTATCTTACTTCTTAGTTTAATGTTCAATAGTGAACCATGTGTTATACATTTAAATACCTGTTTAAACTTTTCTAATTTTCGAATAATTTTATATCTGATTATTTCCTTATTTTATTTTTATAGTCTATGAGCGATTGGACTAAAGAACATTATTCTTTATACAAAATATCAAATCAAGTGGAATTCGATGTTGAAGGTTAGTTTTATATGTAAATTTTTAAATCTATGTATTCCAATTATATTTGTGGAGATTGTTATTTTCAATAACATACTTCATAGAACTTAGACAATTATTGAAAATCAGAAAGCATTAGATGGCTTTTTTTGTCCATCAGCGATGTGCATTCGGTGACTTTGTTGTGAACAAGAACACAGGCGGGGATAACCCCTTGTATTTTTATACAAAATGTGGAAATCATACGTTCAATACTTCTTTCGTGAATCATCCATCAATTGTCTTAAACTTCATCGTTCCTTCGGTGACATAACAATTAATCTCTGTTCTCATTCTCTTCGATTCGATCATCTCAATTCTCTGCTGCTAGGTTTTCCACTTCCGATTTTTGTTACATATTACTTATGTCTGTCGATATAAGTAGAATACACCACAACTCCACCAGCTATTGAACTCAGGCCTCTTGCAGTAGGCACCCCACTTCATTACTGAGTCGCCAGCCAGTGATTTACATTTCTAACTTCTATAAATCTGGATTAATGCACGACTGCAAATTGAGATTTCTTGGGCTAGAACGAAACGACTATTTATTGCTCCTTTGTTTTTTGTGGTCGTCGTTTATTACTCGGTTTTCATGTTCGCATTACTCTTTGTCAACTGTGAATCGGTTCCATAAATACGTTAGCTGACATGATCTGAACTTAATTTCACAAGATTTCAGAGACATCAGTGTTCAAAAAGTACTGTGTGTTTGTGAAAATATACTTATTCGATCTTCCTTTCCGTTATTTGAAATATCCGTTGAAGTCCTCAAAACTCTTGCCTTTCAGCTACTTTGTTGTTTCGACTTTAATATTTTCTATATCATCCCACTTCAGCTTTCGCATAATCGTTTTGTGATTCGCAATCAGACAAATGTTTCAAGAGTTTAAGTCTAATCAGTAAGATCGATAATCTTATTATCGAATCACAAGTTCGTAAATAAGCAATGTCGGATGTACAGGCACATTGTTATAATATCAGTGTAGTTTAGTTCTCTTTTAGGTGGCTTTCATTGTTCTTCTGAACAAAAATCACCCACACTAGCCACAAATCTGAACTACCGTCTTGATACTTTAATGATGCCATTATCAACCTTTTCCAAATTTTCTGATGTCCAAGATTTTTTGTTTTACCATTCGTTGCTCCCCGTGATTAGATGAATTTATTATCACCCTTGTTGAATCATTAATTAGTTATATGTTTATATTTCACCAATGTTTGTTTGCTTACTAGTGGATAGATCATATAAACTAACCATTTTCTTACTGATTCATGTTCTATTCATTGTACCGTTATGAATAGACTATTATTATTCATTTCTATGCTTTACTATTGTCAGTCAGTTAGCTACAACATAGAACTAGGCACATATGTGCATCGGTCCAAGTTGATCATTTTTTTATTGGTTGTTGTGTTACCATGAAAATGAATTTGTGTTATATTGTAAAATCAGTTGTTATTCTTACTCTCTTTATTGTTTATTCTTTTCCTGTAACAGAATATAGTGCTCGTTTAGAATATCTACTTAGCAAACAAATTAAAATTTTATCCTCTTTAAAAGGTAAGTTAATAATATTGATAATTTTTTTTAACAGTCAGTTTATTATTATCATTATTTCTATTAGTGATACTATAGCACTTTTACGTATGTCTGAACACCGATTATCACGACGCACAATGCTCACTAGTGTTGGAGATGGTTGAAAAAGAGTTAGGAGTGGCCAAACCAAAACGTAACATCAGCGTCTGAAGTCACTAATTTCTAGTCTGAGCCATGTTGGTAGATGCAGACTACCTGGTTGGGGATCCACGTGACTATCGTAACCAATGGTTGGAGACTTTGGGCGACATGACTCAGAATCGATCACAATGGTGTCGGTGTATATACTCTCTATCTTCCTTTAAACTATGGGATTGAAATTGCTTTATATCTTTCTTCCTGTACTATATCCTTATATGCAATCTTTCTTTTATATATTACCACTATTGAATTAACTACTTCTATGAATCCAATGTTCGTCTTGTTATGCTAATGAGGTATGGCAACTTGGACTGATGTATATATGTGCCTGTTCCTAAGTTGTATCTGACTGACTGATAGCACTGTCATTGTTACATAAACATAAATATTATCTTTGAAAATAAGTAGAAATGAACTATGCACGTAAGTTTGAAGTTGGCGTTAATTTATGCATCTGATATAAAGGTTGCATGAAGATAAATTCTGTTTACTTCAATAGTAGAACTTGTGAACTTAAGATTGTGTTATAACTTGTGGGTTTGTACCCCTGTCAATGTATAACGTAATGATACCGCCAATTAGAGAGCAGTGAATTATCGATTGAACCAATGACGCATAAAACCTGTACTGGCAGTCTACAGTCCTTATCGATCCTGTTTCCAGCCTGGCCTTACTTGTTCAGTCAAGAACACCAATCTCAGCCTCTGTGATATGAATCATTTATTTCAAACATACTGGATTTATATACCAACCAAACAGACCACATCGTACCGCCAAATAGAAAATAACATTTGTACAAGATTTAACCAAATGTGGTTGTGAATGTGGGAGACAGTAATTGATAGACTGGGTATAGCTTAACAATGGCAAATCATATAATGATGGTCTATGGGTCAAAATAAAGCTTATGATAAGAGGAACACGATTATGAATAGTTGAGTTATTTATCAATTATATGATATATATATATATATATATATATATATATATATATATATATATATATATATATATATATATATATATATATATACAGTATTAGTCCATAAATGGATCTCAAAAGTTATCATTCATTATTCTTATCGAGATATAACGGATTCTACTACCCCTGAACTGGATACTCCGATTGATAGGTTGTGAACAGATTGGGCTCTTGTTCTACAGAATGCCCGACTTAAGACCAAATATAGAGAATCAGAGTATAAATGAGACAATATTTTACTCAGTACAATTACAAGCAGTTTACACTCAGTGAGTTAGTTCAATATGAGGAAAGAAGATCATAATTTAAATAGTCAACTAGATCTGTCTATCTGTTCATTAGTCACTCTTCAGCACCACATCTACACAACCCATTTCAAAAAAATATAACGACATTTACTCATCGGAAATCAGTTTGTCGTATAAGTTACTACCTAAATAACTTATTGTTTTACAATAAAGACTGATTGAATACAGTCTATGATATCAACAAATGGAGGAAATTCAAACTGTATTGTTTATCTGAAAACGAAATTAAACATCTTATAAACTTTGTTCAAATTTGATAATTCTACCACTGACTAGTTCTACAAGTGAAGCAAAGGCTTTCAATCGTTATGACATACCATTTTTTTCACTGAGTGAATTAATGTAGATTCTATTCTAACAATTGTACATATTTACAATTTACAAAATCATTCAGTAATACAAATAGGCCTATATACAAATAAAGTATAACTGTAGTCGGAATATGATAACTATTATTCATTAATTATAACCAAACTGGGTAGTGGATAACAGTGGAATACAGGACGCGCGCCACTTCGTCCTATTTGGGACTCGTCAGCTGGATGTATCTTTATCTCAGAGTTGATATTCAATCCGGGGCTTGAACCCAGTACTGTTCGCTTCAGACGTCAAATACTTTTGAATTAAAGCAATATGCACATATGCCAATAAGAGACTGATTAGTTTCAGTGTTAATCATCAATCGGAAGATTCAAGTAAAACAATACCAAGTGAATTTAAACTTCACCCCATTGTACGAGCAAGTGGATAACGCGATGGTGTTTGAAGCGAACGGTAATTTTTTCTAGTCTCCGAGTGAACATCAATCCTGGGATGCCAGGTACATCCAGCTGACGAGTCTTAAATAAAACGAAGCGTTCATGCACATATACCAATAATAAGAGACTGATCAATTGCAGTCGTAAACATCAATAGGCAGATTCAAGTAAAACAATACCAAGTGAATTTATTATTGAATAATGTATCTTTATTATACAACTGGTTATATGTGAGATTAAAGTATCAAACATGTTTGATGACATTGTTTTGCAAGAGAGAGAAAACAAACAATAAAGTGCCTGGAAATCCCTAATCATTTTCTAATTTACATTAAAGCTTTCATTTGATGAATGAGTATTTCATCTCTAATTATCATTATCATCCTTTCTCGATTACCTCGTCAGAAAATTTTTTTCTATTTTCACAGATAAAGTGACATTATGGCGCCGTGATCTAAGACAAGAAGAAGAACTAAGCACTAATTTACAACGAAATCATAAATTATAGTTTCTAACTCACTTTACTGATAACAAATCAATACAAGTCAATAACATAAATAATATGGATTGTAATTGTTGAAATCAATCATGTTATAATGTTTCGCATTATATGTATGTAACCGTCTGTCCGTTTACAAATTCCCGACCTTGATGAAAGTGTTCCTAGTCAACAACATATTTTGTTGGTTAGAGTTTGGATTAGATATTTTTTGTCAATTAAAGATTTACTGTGATACGATAAATAGGATTATGAACTATGTTCTTTTTACAGTTTGTATGCGGTTATAAGCATATCAACACAAGCATTGAGAAGATCTTTCGTCTTAAACACACTCCTGTTATGTTTTATGCTGTTGAACACATAGTTGCTGGTATCTGTATGTCTGTAAAACATGGAAAGCGTGTGCAGATATGGTCTGATTATGTATCATCAACCCTTGTTCTCTGTATTTTTTTCTGTTCTCACTATTCTTATTCTCCCTATTTTTTTTACTTACACCTATACCAAATAAAAAGTAGCTCTTCATGCTTTCTCTCTTTACATATTATCATTTTTAAAAGTATAAGCGTTACACAATTCAAAATGCATATACCATCATCATTTTGTGATTTGGTTGTCAAGTCTAACATTACATTTCAACCAATTAAATGCTCTTCTTCTTTAGAATACTATCTACATTTCCTCCCCTTCATTTTAATGTAACAATGATCTATTTGTGCACTAAACTAATGTTGATTCATTTCTCACATAAAATGAAATGTATGTATCTATATAATCGCAATGTATTGATTTCTGTTTTTAGTTGCTTTCGTATTCATTGACTATTTTGCATGTTGAGAGGCAATGGTGTAACCTCACAATATTGATAGTATCACCACATGTCCTAAGGACGCCAGAGTTGTTGGTTTTTATGAACAATTTCCTCTTCATTTGTTCATTCAATATTATAACAAATACATTCTTAGGATCGAAAAGAACACTTGATCGAAGTTGGTATGTCTTTCATTATGTTTGTGTTTCCATCGTTACTTACCAAATGTAAACGTCATGAGTTTAGGTTTCAGTACAATAGAATCTGTTTTTCTCCTAAGTATGTTAGTCAAATTATCGACTGTGTAACATACAGAGTTGAATCCAAGCAGGTGTAATCCTGTTTTAGGAAGTGTTTTTTTTCTCCACTACATGGCAGTCTGTAACATATCCATTTACCTTCATGAATATTTACTTCCTGTTCGGTAACGTTGTGCTTAGACAATGTGGTGAGATTTAAGTTAGTCATAATCCGCATTTGCACAGTGTGTTGGGATTACATCCAGACAAATCCCATTATAGACGTATCGGTAGAAGTAGGACAAACTAGGTATATGAGAATGACTGGTTTTGAAACGTTCTAATCACCGATAACGACTCACGACCTTATCAATCGACTTTCCATCTCCCCCGGACACCCTGTATCTGACATTATCATCGTTCACTTAGTGATAGGATGAGTTGGATTGCTTTGAAAGACCTCTATTATCAAGTGTGCAATTTAGCTGGTCAATACGTAAGTGCCTTGCTAATTATTTCGTCATTTTAACTTCAAAATAGTTAGGTGGACGCGCTTCCTGATAACGATTCAGTTATTTGCCATTTGAATCCACTAAGCATATCTCCTCATAGTTATAGTTCGATAACCTCAAACTATCCTGGTTCTGCAAAGGGTGGGGAGAGTTTGCTCTCTCATTGCCATGTGTATATAGCCACTGTCAGTAAGGTCTTACTCAATGACCTCGTGGCTGAGGCTTCCATGAAACTGTGAGGACGAAAGGCGGTCGGTTGATAAGACCGATCCTAAATCAATGGTGTACATGGGCCCCTGTGTTTTGAGAGGACAAGTGGCGTGTGAGCCCGTTGTCAGTGAACTGCCAGTGTCCTAGCACACATGAACGAAATGGTAAGCACTTCAGTACATCTTTCCACGCGTTCCTTGTCTATTCCTCTACCCCATTTCGTATGTGTTTTTGTTGCTCACGTTCTACGGCAGCCCATCTATGTTGGGAACTCTTTACTATCTAAATGATTCCAAGTAACTGAATAGTCGAAAGTTACCAAAGACGAATACTTAACTAGCCTTTCTGAGACCACGTATGGTTTTCGAACTGACTTCATTCAACGTCCTCACACTAACGCAAATCAAACAACAGATAGGGTTGGCCATATTTTTTATAAAGTCCTAACATTGGTCCCCAGTTGTCACTTCGAAGAGCTCGTTTCACGTGCGCTTGCCCAAGGACCCTCTGGCATCGTCTCATTTTGCTGGCGTTACTGTTGCGCTAAGCACTATAGTTGAAGCAACACTGGTCCATTGGATCGTCGTGTATAATGAGTTGTACGTTGTTAAATTAGAAGATGCATCAGTGAGGTGAAATAAGTGGGAGACACGATCTCTATTCGTCATCGCCCTACGCTTCGACCGATTACCCGTCGAATGTTCTGCAGACAGGCGTCTGTGAAATGAGTGATTTAGGTAGCCGATTAGGACCTATTAATTTCAGTTCAGATAATGTTGACCACCAACTTTGCGCAGACTATAACCTGTTTCTGTTTAGCACTAACTTTTGGCATAATTATCGTCGATGTGTTACCTGACATTCTATCTCTGCACCACATCATTACCTACTGCTGGCGTGGCTGATTAAAGATGTGCCGTTTTTTAGGAGTACTTTTATGGACTGATCATGCTCTCGTTTGCACCAATCTTACATTACGTGTTCAGCCCATCGAAAAGTATTGATGAATATTGACTGCAAATACGCAACTTCACAGAAACTTTGGTTAAAGTTTCTTGCGGTTTCGCAAAACATCCCGATTATAAGCACTGGGTTTTTATAGGCTCCTAATAACTCATTCAAGCAAATCAGACTACTCTGCCAAACATTAAGTTTGACCATAAATAAAGATTGTTATATAACAATACTGTATAAACTTTACACAAGCAACGAGAAGCCTGACATTGCCAACGAGTAGACAAAAGCTGCTGCATCTGGTAGCTATTAGGAACTCCTTCAATTCATTTGAGTAACTGGCAGCAAGAAACCTGGTATGAGTGAAACATTCTGTGAATCTTATGTGGTTTCTATCAGAAACATCGACTGATATAGTAACAGTTCAGCTATTCTCTTGCCCCCGGAAACATCAATCAAACTGTGACGACTGATCCACTAAACAAGGCGGAGTTCCACAAGGAACAAAAACATTTGAAGCGTCCTTAATCACCGTGCACAAAAGATAAAACCTGGACCTCTTAAGAGATGGTGGCAATCATCTCGTTAACAAACTGACTGAGTTATTTACAAGTGTCCGAAAAATGAAGCGCCCCGTCCAACAATTATGGATGGCATCGAAGCGACACACCCAGACCATCCTGTAGAAAACAAACCCGCTAATAAACGCTAACCATAAAAAAATAGTTCAAACCATTTAAACTCGGCTCTGGGAGTCAGAAGGTCTTCATTTAGAAGAATTATGACGCCTCATGATGAAAGCCGAATCCCTTCGGAAGTTACGAGGCTGATGCCCCTTCTGACAACCAGAGTGACCATTTATTTAGGTACATGGAATGTTCGTACAATGTGGGACACCGGAAGAGCCTTCCAAACTGCTGCAGAAATGAGAAGATACAACCTAGAGGTACTTGTGATCAGTGAAACACATTGGACACAAGTTGGACAACAACGACTAACTACAGGAGAGCTGCTGTTGTACTCCGGCCATTAAGAAAAAAATGCCTCACATGCTCGAGAAGTTCGATTGTTGCTATCCAAACAAGCACAAAGTGCACTTATGGGGTGGGAATCTTATGGACCAAGGATCATCAAAGCCTCGTTCAAAACAAAGAAAGAGGGCATTTCAATGAACATCATCCAATGCTATGCGCCTACCAACGACTACAATGAAGACGCTAAAGATCAATTCTACAATAGGCTGCAGTCAATCGTCGAGAAGTGCCCAACAAAGGACCTGACCATTCTGATGGGAGATTTCAACGCCAAGGTTGGAACGGACAACACTAGATATGAAGACATCATGGGACGACACGGACTGGGAGAAAGAAACGAAAATGGTGAGAGATTTGCAAACCTATATGCCTTCAATAAGCTGGTCATAGGCGGCACCATATTCCCACATAAACGCATACACAAAACCACATGGACTTCACCGGATCACTCTACACAAAACCAAATCGACCATATTTGCATCAACAAAACGTTCAGGAGGACTATAGAGGACGTGAGAACCAAGAGAGGAGCTGATATAGCATCAGATCATTACTTACTGGTCGCCAAGATGAAATTGAAACTCAAGAAGCACTGGACAACGGGGTGGACAATATCACAAAAGTTCAATACGGCCTTTCTTCAGGATACTAACAAACTCAACAAATTCAAGGTAGTTCTCAGCAACAAGTTCCAGGCCTTTCATGATCTACTCAATGGAGAAGGAACTACTGTAGAGAGCAACCGGAAGGCGACCAAAGAGGCAATCACTTCAACATGTCATGAGGTCTTGGGTCACAAGCAATGGATCACTGTTGATACACTGGATAAGATTCAAGAAAGGAGGAACAAGAAGACAGCAATCAATACCAGTCGAACAAGAGCAGAAAAAGCCAAGGCACAAGCTGAATACACAGAAGTAAAAAAACAAGTGAAGAGGAGCATCAGAACTTACAAACGTAAATATGTGGAAGATTTAGCAACGACGGCGGAAAAGGCTGCAAGAGAAGGAAACATGAGACAATTGTATGACACGACAAAAAACTCTCTGGAAATCGCCGCAAACCAGAACGACCAGTGAAAAGCAAGGAAGGCAAGGTAATCACCAACACTGAAGAGCAACAAAACAGGTGGGTAGAATACTTCAAAGAACTCTTGAATCGACCAGCTCCACTGAACCCACCCAACATCGAAGCAGCACCCACGGACCTCCCAATCAATGTTGGCCCACCAACAATTGAAGAAATCAGCATGGCCATCAGACAAATCAAGAGTGGCAAGGCAGCAGGACCGGACAACATCCCAGCAGAGGCACTAAAGGCAGACGTAGCGGCAACTGCAAGGATACTCCACATTCTCTTCAATAAGATTTGGGATGAGGAACAAGTACCAACAGACTGGAAAGAAGGACTTCTGATCAAAATACCGAAGAAAGGCGATCTCAGCAAGTGTGATAACTACAGAGGCATCACTCTTCTCTCAATACCGGGAAAAGTCTTCAACAGGGTATTGTTAAACAGGATGAAGGACTGCGTAGACGCCCAACTTCGTGACCAACAGGCAGGATTCCGTAAGGATAGATCGTGTACAGACCAAATCGCAACTCTACGGATCATTGTGGAACAATCAATTGAATGGAATTCATCACTCTACATCAACTTCATTGACTACGAAAAGGCATTTGATAGCGTGGACAGAACAACACTATGGAAACTTCTTCGACACTACGGCGTGCCTCAGAAGATAGTTAATATCATACAGAACTCATATGATGGATTACACTGCAAAATTGTGCATGGAAGACAGTTGACAAAGTCGTTTGAAGTAAAGACCGGTGTTAGGCAAGGTTGCCTACTCTCACCCTTTCTCTTTCTCCTGGTGATCGACTGGATCATGAAGACGTCAACGTCTGAAGGGAAGTGCGGGATACAATGGACATCTAGGATGCAGTTGGATGATCTAGACTTCGCAGACGATCTGGCCCTTCTATCGCAAACGCAACAACAGATGCAGGAGAAGACAAACAGTGTGGCAGCAGCCTCAACGGCAATAAGTCTCAATATACACAAAGTGAAAAGCAGGATTCTCCGATACAACACAGAATGCACCAATCCAATCACAACTGCCGGAGAAGATTTGGAAGATGTAAAAACCTTTACGCATTTGGGCAGCAACATTGATGAACAGGGTGGATCTGATGCAGATGTGAAGGTGCGAATCGGCAAAGCAAGAGCAGCATATTTACAACTGAGGAACGTCTGGAACTCAAAGCAACTGTCAACTAACACCAAGGTCAGGATTTTCAATACAAATGTCAAGACACTTTTACTGTATGGGGCAGAAACCTGGAGAACTACAAAAGCCATCATCCAGAACATACACGTGTTTATTAACAGTTGTCTACACAAAATACTTCTGATCTGTTGGTCAGACACTATCAGCAGCAACGTACTGTGAGAGTGAACAAACCAGATTCCAGTAGAGGAAGAAATCAGGAAGAAGCTCTGGAAGTGGATAGGACACACATTGAGGAAAGCACCCAACTGCGTCACAAAGGAAGCGCTCACTTGGAATCCTCAATGTCAAGGTAGAAGAGGAAGACGAAAGAAAACATTACGCCGAGAAATCGAGACATACATGAGAAAAATGAACAAGAATTGGATGGTACAAAAAAACCCAGGACCGAGTGGGCTGGAGAATGCTTGTCGGCGGCCTATGCCCCATTAGGAGTAACAGGCCTAAGTAAGTAAACATTAAATTACATAGCTACACAAAGGAAATAGCTGAAAAAAGCACAGAATGAAGAAAGCCGACCGCCATTGCTTACTAAGATGGCTGGTATAATGATTCTCGTCACATTCTCATTGGTTGCTAAAATAAAAGCCACATTTACGAAATTGAGTTGCGTTTAATAGCACTCTTATTTACCTTAACGTATGTTATAATTACTCTTCATGTAATCAATAAAGGAAACCTTTCTATTTACAGACACAAAGAAGCTTTAGCTGACACACACACCTCAACTCTAAAGTTGAGGCTTGTAACAATTCTGCGTCTATTCCACAAAAAATTAACCGGTTTTTCATACAAATCTTTGTCTCTTTAAATTTGACTTCAAACATATCTCAATCGTATAGTTAAAAGCTTCGATGAAACTAACGGAATGATAAAGTTCTCGAGCTATCAGTAAATCTATGGAGGTAACGTTCATTCTATTCGAATCTGAAGCGTTTTACAAGTGTGTTTTATGGTCCAACAAGAAGTCACTACATTGAGGATTTTTAATTTCTTTAGTCCCACGACAAACGACCTATCAATAGCCACCCGAAGAACTTTCCTAGATAACAAATGACATTTCAGAACAAAGACTTTACGAAAAGGTACGTCTCAGCTCCTATTTTCATAAACTATTACCCTCTGAAACGAACACACTTGGATTACAGGGTACACATATCCTCTCATATTATTATTATTATTATTATTATTATTATTACCGAACTGACTGTACCTATTGCGTTTGTGGAAGAGATCTTCATAGCAGCCTTTATGATCTAAAATCTGTAACTTTATCAAAAAGGAACAAAGAAAATGCAAATAAATCAGGCAGGCTATTCTGGTCAGACTTCGAGTTATTGGATATTGGAACGGCCCAGAGACTTCGCGGTCCTCTTGACACTTGAAGGTCGAAGTTACGAAAATATAGTACGTGGTACTTCATTCCTCATTTTCGAGTAATCTAAAGTCTACACTTTGTAAAAGTGTTGTTATTGACCATTAAAATGCTGATAGTAGTTCATTACTTTATTTTCTATCGCTATGAACTTGGCTGCAGCCATGTTTATATATTACATGTATTATATAAACGAAGGCCCAGACATCCAAAAAAGGGGAAATAAAGGCGAATAAAGAGGTAAATGCTTTGGTAGATAAAGGAGAAACAAAGGGTAAAACGTGCCAGAATGTCGCCTTTTTCGCCTGCCTGGGGGAAATAATATGGATTTCCCCTTTTTTTCGCCGCTTTGTCGATAAATTACTCACTTTTCGCCTAAATATCCGCCGAATTATCTACTTTTTGCCTTAATGTCCGCTGAATTGTCTAATTTTCGCCTAAATATCCGCTGAATTGTCTACTTTTCGTCTAGACGCACACAGAACTACCTATATTCGATCCATTGATATAACCCCAAAGGTCTCCTATGTTCGCTTTTATATTCAACAACAGACCAAAATAAATTTGCAATGCACTGGAAAACCGTTATATTTTTGAGAAATTTTATTTAAAAGGAAAAGCGTATTACTGTACACCATTAGAGCAGAAGCTTAAGCATCGATTTTTTTTCATATCCATTGCAAGTGCTAATTCATTGTTATTTGAAATTATCTGCAAAAGAAGGAACAGGTGATGTATTATCTATAAGGAATGTGCATTTAATCAAAATTTGAAATCACGTGATTTCAAATATAGCTATATATGGAATACCGAAACCTGGGGTTCAGATGGAAGTCTTCAGTCTTCAATAATAAGTATAGGAGGTCTGTCGACCTATATTAATCCTTGCAGTTTGTAATACTGTGGAGGTCCAATCTCGTTTTGAATATATTAACAGACGGTGCTGATATTACGTGTTCCGGTAGGGAATTCCAGTAATTCACTACTCGGTGCGAGAAACGGAACTCCAGACGTAAACGGTTTGATCTCGGTTTTTGAACTTTCTTCGAATGTCCTCTCAAATGATCGGTTCTAGACGGAAGCAAAAGATAAGACATGTTAATACCAAGGTCATCGTTCAGTATACGATAAGCCAATATTAGATCACCCAGTACTCCACGGTAAGATAACGGAAATAAGTTAAGGTGTCTCAGTCTGTCTTCATAAGATAGGCCAGCTAGACCTTGTACCATCTTAGTAGCTCGTCGTTGGACTCTTTCTAGCATATCTGCTTCATATTTGAAACAAGGACTCGCTGCTTGAATCCCGTATTCTAAATGTGGTCGCACATAAATCGGGTATAGTAATCCAAACATTTCATCATCTAAATACTGAAAAGACCTATGAATTGACCATAATACCCTATAGCCTTTCGCAGCAGCAGCCTTACAGTGACTAGTCGTTTTGAGATCATTGCTTAATATAACTCCTAAGTCTTTATAGTTTCTTGCTTTGGGTATCACGAATCCACGTAGTGTATAGTCATACGATTCACCAGAGTTATTTAACTGCATCACTGCACTCTTATTAGGATTTACTTCTAGTGACCACCTGTCTAACCATGCCACCAATGAGGTAAGATCGTCCTGTAATACTATTCTATCCGAAGATAAAACGGACTTAATGTGTCACTCATTGTCTACAAATACGTCACTAGTCTCGTGTATTGTCAGCTAATATTTCTCAACTCAAATATCACTGATCTCATCGCTATATGCCATGTTTTTGTTCATCTCCCTGTCTTTTTCTTCAAACCTACTTTTTCCTAAACCACCGCTTGTAATCGAGTTTGTGGGTCATTGTACATAAGTGCTACATGTCTCAACTACTGCTGTTGATAGGCTGTTACAGCGAATGGTCTCAGTATTCTGCCATTCGCGACCAGCACTCCAGACTCCTGTGTTTTACTCTCTTAATAGGTAAGTAGGTAGACACTTGCAAGATCACCTTTGCGTCGCTCAAAGGTCGTCCATAAATTATATTCTCACTGATAATTTAAGTGTTTATTTGGTCAATGTAGAATTATTTGGGACTATTTAACATGGAGTCTAACTTCAATCTCCTCATACTCTTAATGTCACTTTTCTTGTTTTCCATGTTTTGATTCGTTTGCTATTTAACTTACGAAACTCGATTTAGTTAGTACTAGCGATTGAACTATTTTTTTTGGCTCAGGTTCGTAGCTGTGTTATTGTTTACTTACACCTGTTACCTCTCATATAGCATATGCTGCCGACTAACAATCTCTGACGTACTATGTACTGGTCTCTTCCCTTTTGTTTCCAGTTGCTATTCGTTATTTTGACGTCTTTCAATTCCTGGCTCATTATGTTCTTTGGTCTTCCTGTTTCCTCGACTTCAAGTTAGGCTTTGCCTCGTAATTCGGCTTGATAATTTCCTTTAGATTCGTCCCACCCATCTCCAGCTTCTTTTCCCACTTCTCTTTTCAGATGGGAGTTGGTTCGTTCTCTGCCGTAATAGGTTGTTTCTGATGGTACCCGGTCAAGGGGTCGAGTACCCTGCTTAGAGAACTAGGTCATATGCGAAGTCCAAATCTTTTAGCTGTATCCAAGTTATCCACTGTATAATGTACTTCGCTTGTGGTGGTGGGTGGTATTTATAACCCAGTCAAACACCAGAAGAAAGTGTAAGGGCGAGAGTAAAGATCTTTATCTGATACCAACTCTCACTTGAAATGCATCTGTCAGTCAGCTACAACATAGGACCATGCACGTATATACATCAGTCCAATGAAGCAGGTCTATCCAAGAGTTCCTTGAAGTGTTCTCATCTTTTGTTCTGTTCTTGAGTCTCGGTGATTGTCTCATCTTCTTTGTTTATGACTGGTCTCTCTGGTTAATTATATTTCCTTGCCAGTTTCTTCGTTGTGTCATGTAGTTGTTTCATATTTCCTTCTCTCAGCTTTATTCACTGTCGCTACTAGGTCCCTTGCTTATATCTACTTGTTGGTTCTGATGCTCTTCTTCACTTGCTTGTTTGCTTCGGTGTATTTGACCTGTGCTTTGACTTTCTCTGCACTTGTTCGGCTGGCTGTTGTTAATTGCTTTTTTCATGTTCTTCCTTTCTTGAATCTTGTCCAAGGTTCCCATAGAGATCCATTCCTTATAATGATGCTTCTTGTAGCACAGAACCTCCTGACGCTTTGAAGTTAGTGCTTCTTTGATCCCTTTGCGCTTGTCCTCCATAGTAGTTTTCTCTTCTTCAAGTAGATGTTGTGAGGCTTGGAACCTGTTGTTGAAAGTTATCTTGAATTGGTTGAGTTTGTTGGTATCTCGTAGGAAAGCTGTATCGAACCTTTGTACTGCTATTTCCCCAACTGTGCAGTGTTTCTTTGGCTTCAATTTCATCTTGGCAACCACCAGGTGATGATCTGAATGTGTCAGCCCCTCTCCTGGTTCTGGCATCCTTCATTGTCTTTCTGAATTTTTCAGCGATGCCAATATGATCGATGTGGTCCTCTGTGGTGTGGCGCGGTGAGACCCACGTAGCTTTTTGTATATCTTGAAGGCACAGAGATATGAAAGTATTTCGCCATTCTTGTTCTTTTCTCCCAGTCAATGTTTCCCATAATATTTTCATATCCGCTATTGTCCACTCCGACTTTGGCATTTAGGTTTCCCATCAGAGTGGTCAGGTCGTTTCCTAGGCTCTTCTATACGATGGATTGCATTCTCCCTTAAAATTGATCTTTATTATCGTCGTTGCTATCATTGATATGTGCATTACACTGAATAACGCTTATTGTTTTCAAGAATGTTATGACGATTCGGAATCCAAGAGATTCTTATTCTATAAGTGCTTTTCATGCGTCTTTGGTCAGCATCAATGCACGTCTTTGTGTGTGCGAAACATTTTTTCTTCATAACGAGGGTACATCAGCATCTTTCCCGAATCTAATCTCTTCTGTTCAGCTTCCGTTCATTGGGTCTCATTTATTCCGGGAATCTCTAAGTTGTATCTTTACATTTCCGTGACTTTTATTGGTTTTCTCAGTCTCTGGTTTGTAGAAGCGGTATAGGCCCAGAGAATCCCGGATGTAACAATGAGTTGTCATAATTTTTGTAACTAAAGATCCTTCAATTCCCAGGGAAGAGTTTAAACGGTTTAAATGATATTCATCTGAAGGCGTTTTTTTAGCAAGATTGTTTTTTAAGGGATAGGGTTGTTAGTCCCATTCCTAACTCTCTTTTATCTGAGCTTGTGATCGGTAGTAACTCTGGAAAGACTACAGGTGAAGTTGTGTTATTATCTATCGATAAAATGTTTTTTGTAGTTTGGTTGTAACTTGTCTTTATCCTTTTCATTTTAGACGTGCGATTGAAATTTGTCCAATAATGTTTCTGTAAACTTTATGTACATTTCACGTCCCGGTACCTACTACTTGATTTTTCAGAATATCCCTTTTCAATGGACTATTTGATAAAATCTTGTGAAAGTTTAGTCAATCCTACCTGTTCTATTGAATTTGAAAAACTTGTGGAATTTGGCTTAACCGGAATCGTCATTCGCGAATATCAACTACAAGGAATTAACTGGTTAATAAATTGTGATTTACAAAATCATGGTGGACTATTATGTGATGAAATGGGTTTAGGTAAAACATGTCAGGTTTGTATTGCAATTATTTTATTAATTATATCAAGGTTATTTGTTTTATTTTAGCTATCAGTAATTGGAAATCTAATGCTACTTTTTTAATTGTATCTCCACTTTCTGTTATAGAAAATTGGAGATGTGAACTTCAAAAGTTTGTATAGATTCTTTTTTTATTTCATCAATTTTTTAGTATTGCTCCTAATATTTCATTCATGACTTATATCGGTGACAAAGTAACACGTTCTAACTTACGATCTAATTATAATAAATCAATTAAAATCCTGTTAACTACTTACGAGGTATCATATTTCATTTCATTTATATTGATAAATAGATTTGTATTAATGATGAAGCATTTTTTAAAACATTCTATTGGAACTATGTCATTATTGATGAAGGGCATCGTCTTAAAAACTCTAATACTCAATTGTATTCAATGTTAAATGAGGTAAGTTTTCTTATGTGTTGTTGAACTATTTATTAGATTATTGAATTTGATACAATTGAATTTTGTCTATTCAATTTCAATGTACAAATCTAATTCTATTTACTTTGGTTTTCAGTAATTATACAACGTTCTAATACAAATTATCATTACTGAGATTTGATTATATAAGTCAGTTTAATTTTAAAATTACACTAAGATGGTCTTATTTAGGTGTGCGATAATTATTGAGGCTAGTATTTTAGATGCTATATTAGTCAAACTAATCCTTCTATGATTATCACATGATAATTTTGACCCTTTCTTATGTATTGGAACAATCAGTGATTGTGATCTGTCAGATAGGATTACGTACAACTCCTAGATTTTAGCTAAAATATTAGTCAACGTAATCGCTAAAAAGGCAACGACATGTGTCCCTATCCTTCCGATTTCTTACGGAGCCGTTTGGCCTAACAGCACATAAACGGCTGTTAATGTGGATCCACTCTAAAAGTGCTTGTTCCGCCCTCATGCTTAGTGCTACGCCTACACCTGACAGTCCACGAGAACTAGCCATCGGGTCGCCAGATACACGGAGGGTGTATCTCGTTGGCTCTCCGTTTTGCCGAGGTGAGGTTAAGTGAATAACCACACTGGAATCCTGTATGCGTGTTTCGGAGACACAGCATACATCAATGGTGCGAGATTCTAGAGTTTTAGCCAAAGAAGCCCGCTGACCGATTTGACATAAGGTGCGTAAGTTGAAGGCTCCAATGTGTAGTTTGGAGCGAGGTTTCAGTAGACCTGGGACAGTGTTTCGCGCACTAGAATCGTTGGCCATGGTGACACTTGAGGAGGAAGCCAAAAGAGGAAGTTTAGAGTTGAAAGTCGATGTAGGAGGAATAATAGAAATTGAAGAGGAAGGTTGATTATGAATACAGTGGTCTTGAGTGTTTTTAGAGGTATGAGGGCGGTTATCATTTCCCGGTTGCCCACACAGTGAAAGGATTCTTCTGGAGGTATAGGAAAAAGAAATTGGGTTAGGGGTAGTCTTAGTGACCTGAGAGCGTGACCCCAGTGACCAAGGGACAACTGCTTGAGGTCGGCCACACACTAACTTTTTGCGAGTAGTTTTCGTGTTAGCTCCGTACTTGTTGAGACCTTACCGTCGGAGACGGATATCCGTAGGATAAGGCGAGGTGTGCATTTTTAGGATCGACCTTTTTTAACCCCACCCCTGGTTGTGGGAAGGCAGCGTCGCTGTTATGCTAGTTGTCTGAAGGAAACACTTTGCTGTCGTCACACCTCTGTACAGTCAACAGTACGACTTCGCCTTCGAATTTTGGGCTTGCTGCTCTTAGTCTTACAGTTCTTCAACCGATCTGTCTGGCATGGTAGGACCTTGAGGGATTATTTTTCCAACCAGTATAGCTCGATTGGTTGGTCACGATAGGCCACTACGACCACCACATCAAGGTAGCAACAACGGTCGGGTTTTGTCTGACTATAAATATTGAATTACGCTTGATCAAAAGTAGTTGGTTGCACTCTTCATCGATACTATAGTGCTACATAGTGCGAGATTCTGAAAATTATAGATACTCAAAAAAGTGGATGGGGAAGGAAATAACTAAATACTACTGAAGTTATTGAATATAATTCATGGAAAGTGAGGAAGTTAACTGTACAAAAATTACCTTAGGTCGGTATGATAAAATTAAATTTGATTTTTTTCTCATATGTTGTATTTGTTGATATATCAATGCTAACATCGTTTACAAACATGAGGTAGAAAAATAGATAGTCACCATCCTGTTTGTCTATTTAGGTTGCTTGGATTTACTTGTTTAATCAGGGATTCGAATGTCAGGGTCAGTAAAAATTAAAAACTATTCGGATTGTCTCGATATAGTGGTTAGCTCTCTGGGCTCATCAGCTAATTAGATAACGCGATAGCGTTTGAATCGGAAGTTATTGGGTTCGTGTCCCACCGTAGACATTAATTCGGGGATACAAGCGAATTCAGTTGACGAGTCTCAAATCAGACAATACGCGCGTCCTGGATTCCACTGCTAACCACACTCCATTTATTTTAGAGTGGCCTCTGAATGCCCTAATACGGCTGAGAGTGGGGAGTCATTTCTCTCACCAAATTTTATATGTTTTTAATCTCCTTTTTATCAACATTTCGCAAATCTTAATGAGTAGTTTATTTTTAGACATGTCTAGGAATTCGTTTTATACTAACTGGTACACCAGTTCAAAATAACTTAGAAGAGTTGTTCAATTTACTGCATTTTGTCGCACCTAACTATTTCCATGGAAAATTACGTTCTACATTTTTAACTCATTTTGGCAATGCAGATAAAAGTGAGTACATTGATTAGAAATAGCTTAGTTCATTTAATTTTGAACATAAAACTAACATTTCAATATTTTATTCTTAGTACATGACCTGTTTAATAAATACATAAACTATCATATGCTCAATAGTGAATGTCTTCAAGAGTTATTTCCTGGAGTTCTAGATAGAAGTCGTGATCAGTGGAGTTCAGCTGGGTCTGTTGTGAGATAGTAACTCACTTAAGACAATGGTGGACATTTGCCGCGATTTCGTGGATTGGTTGAAGTTAGACATTAATACCGTTGGATGCCGTCTGGCTCAGTAGTCTAAAGGCTAAGCGTTCGTGCGCACGAGACCGATAGGTCATGGGTTCGAATCTCGTGAGGCGGGAGAGTCGATGTGCACTGCTGAGGAGTCCCGCAGCGGGACGAAACGGCCGTCCGGTATTTCCAGATAATTCTAACGGTACACCTAAATTATACTAGTGATCTACATTGAGGTGCTAATCGTTCCTGTCAATCAGCAGACAGCAAAAATAAATGAATGATTGACTACACTATCATATTATGAATTAAGATTAAAGTATATTTTCAAGGACTCACGCGTTACAGTTGATGTTAGTTCGTGATAAGAAATCAAACTTTAACATCTAACCCTTAACACTAGCTCTTAACTATTCGAAATTTGCGTTATAAATTTTTTCGTTCCTCGTTGGTTCGATAGTATACTATTGCCCCCAAATGCCCTGGTGTGGCCGAGAGTGGAGTGAAAGCAGTTTTGCTTTATGCTTGTGAGACCTGGTCTCTCCGAGTTGAGGATGTTAGACGACTCTCAGTGTTCGATCATCGCTGTCCCCGAAGGATTGCTGACATCGAGTGGCAACACCATGTCAATAATGCAGAGGTTCGGCATCGTGTGTTTGGGCACAGAGACGATAATGCAATTGGTGTGACCATCTTGGAACAACGACTTCTGTGGCTTGGACATGTACTACGAATGTCGTCCCAGAGGATTCCACGTCGTGCATTATTTGCCGACTCTGGGACTGGTTGGAAAAAGCGAGGTGGAGAGGTGGTCAGTGTATGAGATGGTGTGGTGGTATGAAAGAAAGCTGCAAAGGACTGGCTTGTGTTGGTCCTTCACGACTCGCTGGTTGAGGTTCGGGAGATGGTGCAACACAGTGGCTAGAGACGTTATCAGATATGGTTCAGAATAGAAGCCAGTGGCGATCCTGCTGTAACCATTTTTTACTTTCTTCATAAAAAATGGTTGTTTCTTTTTTACCTGAAAGATTTTTTCTGATTGTACTTTTTCGTTTCCCGCATTATTACTATTACACAACCTTACACTAAGCTGTTCGTTATTGTTTTTTTTACGTTCCTCTTTTTTTACTGAAATTCTCATTGTTTTGTGTGGCGCATATATATTTGGCGCACTCCTGTACCACTATATATGTGTTCAAATAAATAAATAAAATTACGAAGCAAGCTTAGAATCTCGAGACCTGCAACTAAAAGTCGAGCGCCCCAAACACTTACCTATCACTATTTCGCTGGGATGTAGAATAACCAGTCCTCTATTTTAGCGATTGCATGTCTAGATTTCGACTACTAAGATAAGCGATTAGAAATCATGGTGAACTGAAACTGATAGGCGAGGCAAGTAAGGAGAGATCATATCGATTCTTATTAAACGAAAATTTATTTGAAGATCCGAAGCTCCATGTGATGCATTTTGAAAACAAGAAACAACCTGTTGGTTGTAATTGAGCCAGTTAACTTATCTAGAACTTTAACTGCATAATTATTTGATAATACATGGTTTGCCACCTAATGATCAATTAAAGGACGTACCTCATGTAGATTTTCAATGAATGTTAGCAACTATAAAACACAAACCTAACGCTTTTGTAGCGTGCGATGTTTGGGTGTGATACTGATACACAGTCTTCCTAAGAATGGCCTCAACTGACTGCTCGAATTAAAAGACAATTAGAAAAGTAGTTTATTGACGAAGCGAATCGACTGTATGTGCACTCATATATATATATATATATATATATCCTTAAAAAATTAGGCTACTGATGTATGTTTCACTTCTTATGAATGAAACCTGTTTATAGGCCAGTCAGGCGCACTTATTTATTTAAACACATAAACATTGGTACAGGAAGGCACCAAACGAACTAATAGATTTCTGTGGGGTCTCGGATACTGATAGGGTGCCCAGACCAGAGTGGGTGGTTATCTTAGGGGGCCTTCGGACCAAAGGTCTAATCCACGGAGACAGTGGAGCAACGTCAGGAGATACAGTCCCATGGTAGTCAGTGACCAACGATTGGTTCATGCGCCACTTGTTCCTTCAGGATACTGGACCCCATGTGCACCATTGGTTTGGAATCAGGGTTTTCCTACTCCCCTAGGTGGACTATCCGTGTCCGCCAGCCCGGTAAAAGCATCGGACATTTGCTTTTCGTCCTCTCAATTTCGTAAACAACAGTAATGCCGCGAAAAGGTAGTGTGTAGGACTTCCCTGACAGTGGTTGTATGCACGTGGCCATGTGAGAGCATTTCGAGAGAGAGAGAGTGGACTCTTCCCATTCTCGGCAGTACTAGGGCATCGGGAGGGGGGCAATCACGCGCATTTATCGTTTTGCCAATTTCTGACTAGTTCAATGTACCATTTTTCAATTTTGACAAATCAGAATAGGTTCTTGGATTTAGCTGGTGTTAAGATGGGAGCTTATTCTCCTCATCCTGTTGATATTTGAAATGATCGAATTCTATTGGTCCAGTGGTTCAGAAAGATATATAAAGTAACATCATCCGACAAGACTGATTTTCAAAGACTTCTATGGAAGTTTTAGAAAGAGAAAATAGAGATACAAAGAGCATATTGTTCACAAATGAGGAGTAATTTGAAGGGAATCAGATTGATGTACCTTAGATTCCGTAAAATAAAACTTTTATGACTTCACTTTGTGTACTTATTAGACAGACTAACATTTGAATTAACCCCACAAAACCTGGCACTAACTGAATATCAACGATTTGAATAATTAGATACAAAGTTTTGGTTAATAAATAAACAAGAAATATATAGTAGAAGCTATAATCAAATCATACTACTAATTTCACTGTTCAAAAATAGACATTTGAGGCTTCGTAAATGTACTATGATAATTCTGTTTTGTTCACTGATTTCAATGGTATTCAATTCATTATATCCTACTTTATAATTTATTCAGTAGTATATGTGTATTACCATATTAGATTCTTTTTTTAATTTTTATCATATCAAGATGAAACAGATCAAGATATGGCAAAAATTCTACGTCCATTCCTTTTACGGCGTATTAAACAAAATGTCTTAACTGATTTACCACCACGTGCAGATATTTTAATCTATCATTCATTAACTAGTTTACAAACACAAATTTATCGGGCCCTATTAACACGAAATACAGGTTAGTTTGTTGTCTTTATGTAGTTATGTTTCACAACAAAATTTTCCATCAGTGATGATAAGAGGCCTGCAGTCATTGTTAATGTTATTGTTTGGTTGATGTTAAATCTAACGAAGTATTCAACCAACACCTCTGAAATACACGTGGAAATGTACATTTAAAAAATATTTTCTCTAGGAGATGGTTCTATTCTTTTTTTACAAACTTCATGTGAATTAATCACAAACTTCAATTTATAAGGTATCTGTAGTAGTTAGCAAGCCTGTGTATATGAAAGGGAAATTGACTCCTGCAGAATGATCGACTGCAACGTATAATAGAGGGAATGACAGCTCATACCTGCTTATTTATTCATTTATTTGAACATATAAATTTTGGTACAAAGGGGCACCGAATACATAGGCGCCACACAAGTCATTTGATATTTATGTGGGCTGTAATACTGCGTGGGTGCTAAAACCGAGGCAGGTGGTTTTCTTAGGGGGCCACGTCCGGTAGTTTCGACTTAAAGGTCTGATCTACAAGACTGGAGCGACAGAAGGAGATGCAGTCCCATGGTAGCCGGTGACCAATAATAAGTTCATACGCCATTTGCTCCCTCAGGATACTGGAGCCAAAATGCATCATTGTTTGGAATGAGGGTTTTCTAACTCCCATAAGGGGATCGTCCATTTCCATCAACCCGGTTAAAGCTCCGGACATTCACTTTTCGTTCTCTCAATTTCTTAAACAATAGTAATGCTGCGAGAACGTAGTGAGTAGGACTTTCCTGGAAGTGGCTGTATACACGTGGCCATGTGAGAGCGTTTTTAGGAGAGCTGACTCTCCCCGCTGTCGACCGTACCAGGGCATTTACAGGCTGTGATACCTGTGTTTAGTGTCGATAATGACTGTCAACAATCGAACTGAGAACAAGAGCTCAAAACTTGGAAGCGTTTACACAAAAATTCGAAAAAATGCACTAAAATTGAAAGCAGTTGTTACTTACTTACACCTGTTACCCCTCATGGAGGTGCATAGGCCGCCCATCAGCGCTCTCTATCCAACTCTGTAATGGCAATAATTTTCAATTCTTTCCAGTTCCTATTCATCCTTTTCACTTCTGCTTCCAATTCTCGGTGCAGTGAGTTCTTTGGTCTTCCTCTTTTCAATTTCCCTTCAGAATTCCAAGTTAGCGATTGCCTCGTGATGCAGTTTGGTGATTTCCGTAATGTATGCCCTATCCACTTCTATGTCTTTTCCTACTTTCCTCTTCAACTGGAAGCTGGTTTGTTCTATCCCACAGTAGGCTATTGCTGATGGTATCCGGTCAACGGATATTGAGTATCGTACATAAACAACCATTTATAGATACTTGTACCTTCTTGATGATGGTTGTAGTAGTTCTCCACGTATCAGCTCCGTACAGTATGGCTGTTCTGACGTTCGTATTGAAGATTGTGACTGATATTGGTTGACAGTTGTTTTGAGTTCCGTATGGTCTTCAACTGTAGAAATGCAGCCCTTTCTTTATCAATCCTCGTTTTTACGTCTACATCAGATCCTCCTTGTTCAAGAATGATGCTGCCCAGGTACATGAAAGATTCCAGAAGTTCTATAGCTCATCTACCAAGTGTGATTGTGTTGGTGTTCTCTGTGTTGTATTTAGGGATCTTGCATTTGTTCGTGTGTATGGGATAGAAGAGCTAGGTCATTTGCGAAGTCCAAATCTTCTAATTGATTCCGTGTTCTCAATCGTACTCCGTGTCTCTTCTCAGATGTAAAGGTCTTCATAATCCAGTCGACCACCAGAAGAAAGAGAAAAGAAGAGAATAAGCAGCCTTGTCCGACACTGATTTTCAGTCGGAACGCATTTGTCGGCCGTCTTCCACGAACGACTTTACAGTGTAATCCGTTGTATGGATTACGTATGATGTTGAAGATCTCAGGTACTCCATAGTGTCGAAGAAGTCCCCATAATGTTCTCTTATCCACACTGTCAAATGCTTTCTCATAATGAAGGAATTTGATGTATATTGACGAATTCCATTCAATTGATTGTTCAACGATGATCCATAGTGTCACAATTTGGTCTGTGCACAACCTATCCTTACGGAATCCAGTTTGTTGATCTCATCGTAGTTGGGTGTCTACTGAATCTTTCATCTGGTTCAGCAGCACTCTGTTGAAAACCTTTCCTGGTTCCGATAGTAGTGTCATGCCTCTTTGATTCTCACATTTTCACCGATCTCTTTTCTTTGGATTCTTGATGAAGTGCACAAGCAAGTGACTATCAGGACTCAGTAGCTAAGTGGATAATGCGATAGCATTTGAAGCGAACGTTATTGGTTTCGAGTCCCAGAGTAAATATCAACACAGAGATGTAGGTACATCCAGCTGACGAGTTCCAAATAGGACGAAATGTACATCATGAATTCCACTACTAGTCACTATCCATCTTTGCTTATAATGTTTTAGTGTTTGTTCCATTTAATTAATTTGTACACTTTATAATTTTTACGTTATCTAATGTTTTACAGATTTATTTCAATCTATTACTGGTCAACATAATAATGATCTACGTATTCAAAATCGTTTACAGAACTTGATTATGAATTTAAGAAAATGTGTAAATCATCCATATTTATTTGATGGTTAGTTTAACCGTTTTATTCTTGATTGAAATTGACAATGTAATTTTCAATATGGTATATTTCTGTTAATGATCTCAATTGATTCTAGTTATATGACAATTTTCTCAAATAAGCATACGGTAGTTATTCGGTCGTATTCAACTTACAATTTGATACATGTATAATACATCAGTTCAAGGTGTCACATCCTATTAGCAGAGAGAGTGAGATGAAATTGTCAAGATTGATCCTAGAATAGTAGATGTCGTAATAATATTAGTGTTAATTGTAAATATTAGCCATAATCAATATAGGAATATGTGTGTGATGACCGTCCACGGGTGAACTCGAGGAAGCTCTAAAAAGATATTCCGAAGATATTCCATTCAATTATAGATGATAACCTGTTTTATGGGGGATCAGTTATTTTAGTATATGAAAATAAATCGTTACTCCATGAACATAGTGAAGTCAACTGGAGTTGATATATATGTCATTAGTGACTATCTGTATGTTTTAATCTGTAATGCGATCACAGCTCTAAAGGATGCTCTTTTCTCATCTAAATCATTCTCATGTGATTTTATTTTTTCTCCTAAACTGCAAAATGATCCCTGCTTCGGTTTGGACACCCGGGCATTATCACAGCCCTCACACATATCAAATAAAATCTGTGTGGCGCATATGTATATGGTGCCTCCTTGTACCAATATCTATGTGTTAAAATAAATAAATAAAAGCAAAATGATCATGAGGGAAAAAGAAAGTTAGACGGTACAGAGTTAGTAAAACGTGGAACAAAACAGCTGAAAATCTTAACTTTTAACGACTTGCAATTATGTTTTCAAGAGTGGAAATAAAGATGAAACAGGTGTCCTGCCACAAATTGTGAACATTGTGAAATTAATATACCCTGAATCTTTCAAAGTAAACTTCTCATGACTTCAATCTGTGTATATATTGTGTTTATTGTATTATCTTATACTGACATCAATTTTATGTTGTAAATTGTGTATCTTATTGATGTCTGTTACTGGAACACTTATTTCTGACTTCCTAAACTCCTGTCTATTTATAGTCAGTCAGCTACAACTTAGGAACAGGCACATATGTGCATCGGTTCAAGTTGCCACACCTCATTAGCACAACAACATGAACACCAGATTCATAGAAGTAGTTAATTCAATAGTGGTAATATATAAAAGAAAGATTGCATATAAGGATATAGTACAGGAAGAAAGATATAAAGCGATTTCAATCCCATAGTTTAAAGGAAGATAGAGAGTGTATACACCGACACCATTGTGATCGATTCTGAGCCATGTCGCCCAAAGTCTCCAACCATTGGTTACGATAGTCACGTGGACCCCCAACCAGGTAGTCTGCATCTACCAACATGGCTCAGACTAGAAGTTAGTGACTTCACTGACTGATGCCACGTTTTGGTTTGGCCAGCCCTAACTTTCTTCCAACCATCTCCAACACTAGTGAGCATTGTGCGTCGTGGTAATCGGTGTTCAGGCATACGCAACACATGGCCCAACCATCTCACAACTTCATCAACTGATTTACCATCATCGTTCCGTAATATCCTTCGTCTAACCTCACTATTACTTACGCGGTGATCCCAGCAGATGTGAGCAATGTTTCTAGACTATTTAGAGATGTCAACTCAAACCGTAGACAAAGTTGTCTTATGAATAGGAGCTTTACTCCTAGTATTTATCGTTTAATGTGAATTTGATGTTCATTTTATTATATTTATCTCTTTTTATTTAGGTATAGAACCAGAACCATTCACACTTGGTGAACATTTAATTCAAACCAGTTCAAAACTTTTTCTATTAGATCTTCTTTTACAATTTCTATATAATCCTAATCATTCTAATTTGGATAAATCATTTTATTCTTCTAATTCAAAACCTATACATAAAGTTTTAATCTTTTCTCAAATGACTCGTATGCTTGATATTATACAAGATTATATGACTTTAAGAGGTATGTTCTTATTATTTGTAAATGATCATTCAAGTTTATTGACATGAAATTGTAAAAAGTTCAATTGGTTTTATTATATGTACTTGTTTTATAAGACTTTCCAACGAAATCCTTTTATGATCCAGTTAGATGTTGAACCCAATACCTTCATATCATGCGTCGATTGTATTATATTTCAAAATGGTTGATCAAACGGTTAGGTTGTTCAATTTTTGGCCACTAAGTATTAGGTGTAAACCTCGTTCTACCTACTTCGATTTCGGGTAGCGAGTAGTATCGTTGGTCATCCTAATTAAGGTTTGGCTAATACTCATGTACCTGGTCAATGATTTAAATTCATGTATTTTCACTGGTTGAAATCATGAGTTAATTGAAGCTAGACCACCATGGAAAACCTGAGATAGGAACTCACTGAAGACAATGGTGTACGGTGGCGCAGCTTTGTGGATTGTTTGAAGTTAGACATTAACACCGTTGGATGCCGGCCGGCTCAGTGGTCTAGTTGGTTAAGCGCCTGGCGCGAGACCGATAGGTCCTGGGTTCGAATCTCGCGGGTGTGGGATCGTGGGTGCTCACTGGTGAGGAGTCCCATACTAAGACGAAACGGCCTTCCAGTACTTCCAGGTTTTCGATAGTGGTCTAGCTTCAACTGGCTCGTGATTTCAACTAGTGAAATTTCTAAAAATCTCCACAAAACCCATTCTGATAATTTATGTATTTATTTCATATTTCAGATCACTGAGTTTACATTTAGGATTTCATATCTCCAACTTCATTCAACCTGCGATTTTACATGACCATAATCTATTTTGATTAGTGATATGTGTTTCACTCATTATGTGATTTCACCCCATCGACTACGACTTCTGAAAAGAATTTTCGGCGTTTGTCTCTAATAAGTACTTGGTTTTTTTAATCATCATATGAGATTTGTGAGGATAGTTTTCATCACAGAATGTAAACCATTGAATTCTAACTGGAATGTTCTAAAAGATAATACTTGCTCCATATGATATCTTAAAGTCTAAGTGTCCCATACTTCGCAAATTCGTCAGTGTCCTTTATTAGAGAGTCCTAGTGTAGACCACAAATTGTACTTAACATTTGATCAAATGGATGAGTTCCATTGTTTCTTTCAAAATACAAAGCATATTCGACTAATAAAAAACAACATATAATTTCAATTTAATAATTGAATTCATGAGTCAACTAAAGCTAGATCACCATGAAAAATCTGAAAGTACTGGACGGCCGTCTCGTTCTATTGCGGGACTGTTCCTTGGTAGTGCGCATCCACAATCCCGCCTCATGAGATTCGAACCCATGACCTATCGGTCTCGTGCGCGAATGTTTAACCTTGAGACCACTGAGCCGACCGACATCCAACAATGTTAATGTATAACTCCAACTGATCTACGAGATTGACTCATGAATTCAATTAATAAATTACTACAATCTCCACAAAACTCCTCTCTGAACATAATTTCCAACTAACCAATAACTACATCAGTTCACTGATTCTTTAAATTAGTATTTCACTTCTAGTTACACTCTTATCAGAGTTAGCAATATTAAGCGATAGCCGAAGCTGAAGTAGATAATACAGAGTTCGAACCTGTTACTTATTAGCTAAATATCCAACACTTTAACCTTTGAGTTACCATTTCATTCTTTAACTTAAGAATCCTAAAAGATAATATGCTCATTTTTAAGTTTTATTCCATTTCTGTCTATTTGCGATGAATTGTAAATACAGCGTAATCATTTGCGCAATTATTTTTAGTTTACAATGATTTTTCAACTATTATCAGCAGTACATGAATAAAAAGATCTTCAAGTTGATACTTTTTCTACCTTTTTATCTTTTAATTACCATAGGTTATAGTTATGAACGTTTAGATGGTTCGGTACGTGGTGAAGATCGTTTTCAAGCTGTTAAAAGTTTTAATGAAGATCAAGAAACATTTGTGTTTCTACTTAGTACTCGTGCAGGTGAAAATGTTTTTCTTTTCTTTTCCTGTTTCATATTGACCATAATTTAATTAAAACTGATAAAGAATTATTCGATAGAATAGGAGGCATTTCCTGGAGTTCTAGTGAGAAGCAGTGACCACTGGAGTTCAACCAGGTCTGTTGTGAGATACTAACTCACTGAAGACAATGGTGTACGGTGGCTCAACTTTGTGGATTAGTTGAAGTTAGGCATTAACACCGTTGGATGCCGTCTGGCTCAGTGGTCTAACGGTTAAGCGCTCACGCGCGAGACTGATATGGCTTGGGTTCGAATCTCGCGGGGTGAGGGATCTTGGATGCGCACTGATGGGAAGTCCCATACTAAGACGAAACGGCCGTCCAGTACTTTCGGGTTTTCCATGGTGGTTTAGCTTCAATTGACTCGTGATTTCAACTATTGAAATTTCTAAAAATATCTCCACACAACTCCTGAGGATAGGATATGTGTTTGTGAAAATGTATGATCTAGTAGAAATATATACTCATTCAAAATTTGTAACTCCTTTGACATTAGTATTATAACGCTCGGTTTTACTTCATCTACACATATGGGAGGTTAATTTACCTTGGACGAATATCTACACTAGATTCCCTTCCAGTGTCTGTTATTCTACAGAACTTCAACACAACTCAAATCAAGAACACGTGATTAGCCTGACTATATTTTCACACCAAAACCCGACATAATCCAACAACAATGAACAATCAATAAAAATAAAAATAATAATTTATTTATTCATTTCAACACATAGATATTGGTACAAGGGGGCACCAGATACATATGCGCCACACAAATCTCATTTGATTTGTGTGAGGGATGTATTACTGCCCGGGTGCCCAAACCGAAACAGGTGGTTTTCTTAGGGGGCCACACCCGGAGCCTTCGACTTGAAGGTCTAATCCACAAGGCAGTGAAGCACCGTAAGGAGATGCAGTCCCATGGTAGCTATTGACCGACGATTGATTATTCATGCGCCATTTGTTCCTTCAGCATACTGGAGCCCATGTGCACCATTAGTTTGGAATGAGGGTTTTCCAACTCCCCTAGGTGGAGTGTCCGTGTCCACCAACCCGGTTAGAAACGTCGGATATTCTCTTATCATCCTCTCAATTTCGTAAACAATAGTAATGCCGCGAGAAGGTAGTGAGTAAGACTTCCCTGACAAAGGCTAAATACGCGTGGCCATATGAGAGAATTTTGAGAGGGACAGCTTACTCTCCCAACTCTCGGCTGTACCAGGGCATTTGGGGGTAATAATAATAAGGATATGGGAATATATAACACATCTAACACCTGTCAGACCATCTACTTGTCTGATTAAGCAGACAACCAATCATTATCATTCTCGCCCACACATCAGTAAGTCAGCAACAACGCAAAACATCGTGCTTACGTACATCAGTTCAAGTTGCCATATCACATATCCGTAACAGCACATGAGAAGCTTAATTAAAAATTTGAGAATGTGTAAATTTATTCAGCGTATTGATCATTTGAAACAAAGTTCATTGAACAATTGTTATCAGGAAGTGGATATGAGTATGAATATATATTTCACTATGATCTATCAAACCAATATCTTTGAATCTTCTTTTATTTCTCAGGTGGTCAGGGTTTGAATCTTGTCTCTGCTGATACTGTTATCTTTGTTGATAACGATTTTAATCCACAAATCGATGTACAAGCCGCTGGGCGTGCTCATCGTATTGGTCAGACCAAGTAAGTATTAATTATGTAAAAAGAATAATAATTTTCCTAAGAATATCATTGAAAACTTATCATCTTACTGACACTGTACGTAAAAAAAGGATTGTAACTTATCTTGAAATTATACAGATTTAAAGCTTTCTATAAAATAACCAATTCTCTTCGAAACGCTTCAGTTTATATTAGAAGTGTCATCACTTTTGAAGGATGGTTGGTGTCTGACGAAATTCGGAAAACCCGATTGATTTTTACCAGCTTGCATCACTTGTATCGTAGATGAGATATCTCTTTCCAAACTAAAGGACTATTTTACTATACAACAGTCCGTTCCATTCTACTTTATACATATGAAACATGGCCTTTTAAAGTAGAGGATATTCCTTCATAGATATTTTCGAACCACTGTTCGTATACTTTTTTGGAGCATTGAGATTGTGATTCCGAAGTTAGACTCATAGTACTAAGTAAATCGATTGATGATATGGTGAATCTTTATCAACTGACATGTTTGTGACATGTATCAAGTATGTCCATCCACTGATTATCTGGATGCACGATGATGGCTGATATAGAAGTAGATTGGAAGAAGGTTAGGGACGACCAAACCAAGACATGTTATCAGTTCATGAAAACAATTACTACTGGTAGATCCAGACTAGCTGGTTGAGATTGGCGTGATAACTAATAATTAGTAACTTCGTGTATTCTCCTTCATAAAGAATTGAGATTTTCTTCTCTAATTATATCTTAAATGCCTAATCTTTTCTATTAACACTAATACTATTACTATATCTATCACTCTGGTATTTGTTTTGACAACTTCATTTCTCTGTGCTGATTTGCTATGGCAACTCAAACCAGTGTACACATATATCAGGTTTTACATGATGTATAACTGACTGATTCACTAACCACAAATTAAAACTAGTCTTTCCAATTACTGCCTGTAATTTTACTACCTCTACCACTATGGGATTTGAATTGACAATTGTATCACTGTGCTAATGTGGTATAACAACTTGAACTGATGTACGTACGTACGATGTTCTACGTTGTTACTGACTGACTGACTGACTCTTTAAAAGGTCAGTCATTTGTAAATTCCTCCTTAACTTATATCAAAGAGGATTATTCAAATGAAGATGTTATTTCTTTTTTTTTTATTAGGCCAGTTCGAATAATAAGACTTGTTTGCCGGCATACTGTTGAAGAAGCAATATTATCTCGTGCAGAGACCAAATTAAAATTAGCAACTCGTGTATTAAATACGACAGATTTAAAACATCTAGAAAATAAAACTGATAAACCGTTCACATTCGATGAGGTAAATATAATTTATGGTTAGAGTAATTTAAGATAATAACAGTTCTGTTTATTTTTTCAAGAAAGTGAGTGTGTGTGTGTGTGTATGTGTTAGCTTTTGCTTAATAAGTCAACTTGATGATAATGGTCTCTGTCAGAGATAGAATTTAAACTGAATAACCAGGAACAACTGAGACAGTAAAGCTATTTCCTATGCTGTCTGATGCCGACTCAGTGATCTAGAGGTTAAGTGTTCGCGCGCACGAGACCGATAAGTCCTGGGTTCGAATCTCGCAAGGCAGGATCGTGGATATGCACTGCTGAGAAGTCCCACTATAAGATGAAACGGCCGTCTAATGCTTCCAGATTTTCTATGACGGTCTAGCTTCAATTGACTCATGATCTCAACTATTAAAAAATTACTATGATATCCACAAAATCTCTTCTGGTATTAATTAGTTCTCCAGTTGAATGTTAGTGCATGACGAAGTGTATCTCCAAATGTAATGTATTTTGAGTTGATAAAATCCTTTTATTTCCCATTTTCTTGATTTTCATTTTTTTTTCTGTTAAAAATCAAAATTAGCCAATATCTCAGGAAATCATAACTGTATTTCGATGTTAGGGGAGTTGAAGGCAATAAGTAGGTAGCTTCATTTAACTTAGGTTTGATACTATTTGTCACTCATCATTAAATTATAGCTGTAATCTTGTGAGAACTACTATCTCTCATCGTAAACATTAACAATGGTCCATTCGGTTAACGAATAATCATCTGTTGGACCTGAATAGCATTCGATCAGAATTGAAGATTTAAAAAAATATGACATTGTTTATCACTGAGTGATCAATTAGCAAATTCATAGAAATCTATCTCATCACAATTCTGGGTTTTTGTACAGTCGTTATTTATATTTCAATGAGATTTGTGAATTTATCCAATGTTCCGATTCTTAGATGTATTGGTGATTATTTATTTATTTAAACAAATAAACATTGGTACAAGGAGGCGCCACATAAATCATTCGATTTATGTGAGGGATTGGATGCTGCCTGGGTGCCCAAACCGAAACAGGTGGTTTTCTTAAGGGGCCATTCGGAGCTTTTCACCTGAAGGTCTAATCCACAAGGTAGTGGAGCAACGTGAGGAGATGCAGTCCCATGGTAGCCATTGACCAACAATTGGTTCATACACCATTTGTTCCTCTAAGATACTGGAGCCAAAATGCATCATTGTTTGGAATGAGGGTTTTCCAACACTCCTAGGTGGACTGTCCGTGTCCACCAACCCGGTTAAATCGTCGGATATTCGCTTTTCATCCTTTCTATTCCGTAAACAATAGTAATGCCGCGAGAAGTTAGTGAGTAGGACTTCTCTGGCATTGGTTGACGAATAAGTCTTCTACAGTATGAATAATTTTTTAAAAGTGTATTTATATATAAAATACCCTTGTTATTGTCTTACAGTTCATTTCACTTTTTGATTACCACAGTTGAATAATGTTCTTAAATTTGGATTGGCTAAACTACTCAAGACAACTGATAACGATGTTGGCAACAATGATGAGGATGACAAGAAAGTTAATCTGAATTTTACTCAAATACTTGGTGAAACAGATCATGAAACAGGACACTGGTTACCAGTTCCTCCATCAACCATAAATAATGGCACCTTAGAAGAACAGATAAATTTTTGTGGTTGGGTGCTACTCACAAATGAACCGTTTCACTGTGAACCTAGTGAAGCTGATCAAGAAGCAGTTAAAAAGTTGCAACAAGGTAATGAATTAGAGTTATGACGTAATCACGTTAAATTTTTCCTGATCGATTGTCTCGTTTAATAACAAAAAAAATATTAGATGTTAATTTGTCATGGTTTGGATTATTCCATTGACTGAAATTCGATCAGTCTTATTCTGTGATAGAAGTTCATTTAGCTGACGAGTCCTAAGTCTAACAGTTGAAGGGATAAGCTTTGATCCGCATTGTTATAATAACTTAGTCGTTAAAGCATTCAGTGTACAGCCATTATGATGGCATCAATTTGTACTTGGCTTCACATACTTTGCTTGTAGTCACCACCTGAGTATCCTTTCTTCACAATAAAGTGTGATTACTGTAGTGAGTTTTGTGGAGATGATTAAATCTTCGTAGTTTATATCACTAACTGATTTTAGTTAGACCATCATTAGGAACCAGGAAACACTGAACAGTTGATTCGTCTTAGTAGATGACTCTTCAGCAATGCCTATTCATGACTCCATTATAGGGGGTTGAACTCAAGACCTCTCATGTGTGTTTATTTACACCATTGAATACCAACTCAGTATTCTAGAAGCCAAGCGTTTGCACACAAGATCGGATGTCCTGAGTTCCATCCCCTGTTGTAGGACCGTGGAGGATCGTTGTTGAAGAGCCCCATTCTGTGAAACAGAACAGCTGTCCAATGCTTTCCAGTTTTTAATAGTGGTCTAACTATAACCACTTTGTGATTTAAACCACATAGATTGTAGTTCAAAGCTAACTATATGGAAAATACCCATATTGAATACAGCAATTTCATTATTACTTTTTATTGTTTTAGACTATGAATTAACCAAATCTAAATTAAGCGTTGAAGATGATGAATTGCTTGCATCAGAAAATATCACAGGATTTAGTGTATCGAATTCTACCTTCACCAAATTGAATAAGCATCGCAAAAAGTTAACACCAGAAGAAATTGAAGCTCGTAATAAAAAGGTATCATTTACTAGTTTTATTATTATCGTTATTATTACTTGAAAATATCTTAGACAACACTATTTAACAAGCTTCAAATTCGAGTTTATGATATTTATAATTAAGGTTGTAGGAGAACTAGAGCTAGTAACTCAGAGGTTGCCCCTGAATGCCCTGGTACGGCCGAGAGAGAGGAGAGTCAGCCCTCCCTCTCGTAATGCTCTCTCACATGACCACGCGTATATAGCCACTGCCAATGAAGTCCTACTTACTGCCTTCTCGTGATGGGAGTGTTGTTTACGAAATTGAGAGGATGAAAAGCGAATATCCGACGCTTTAACCGGGTTGGTGGACACGGAGAGTCCACCTAGGAGAGCTGGAAAACCCTGATTCCAAACTAATGGTGCGAATGGGCTCCAGTATCCTGAGGGAATAAATGGCGTATGAACCAATCGTTGGTCACTAGCTACAATGGAACTACATCTACTGATGTTGCTTTACTTCTTTGTGGATCAGACCTTTAGGTCAGTGTCTCGAGGTGTGTCCGCCGGGCACTATCACAGCTCACACACAAATCAAGTGACTTGTGTGGCGCATATGTATTCGGTGCCTCTTTGTACCAATATTTATATGTTCATATAAATTAGACTCAGAGGTTGTTTGTTCAAATCCAACATCTCAGATTTTCTTTCAAATTCAATCATATTTCTTCATACTTAACAAAATTGTTGTCCAGAAAATAAATCGAGCTCAGTACATCCTATGATTACATTCTTATTAGTTTAATATTTTGTTAGAATTGTGTGCACAGATAATTTCCACAAATACACTTAAACGATGGTACAATGAGGCACCAAATAGATATGTACCACATAAATCATTCATTTTATGTGAGGAATGTGATACTGCCCCGGGTGCCCTAACCACAAATACACTGCATCAGCAATCATCTTGGCAACATAAACGATCGAGTTATTATGAAAAACCACATTCAACAGTTAATGAATTTCCAAAGTGTTTAGATTTGTCTATAACTAACATCCTTAGTAGTTCATTTCATATATTTATTGGATGTATTATGTACATTTATTAATCTATACTTAACGTATGTATTTGTTGTATTTTAAAATTTACAATTAGGCTGCTGAGACTAAAGCTAAACGTGAATATAAACGAAAAGAAAATGAAGCGATTCGGAGCGCTGAACGTTTAGAAAGAAAGTAAGCTACGTCTTTTTGTAGTAAAAAGGATATTTTGTACATTATTTGTTCATCAGTGGTCTTGAGGGCGGTTATCATTTCCCGGTTGCCCACACAGTGAAAGGATTCTTCTGGAGGTATCGGAAAAAGAAATTGGGTTAGGGGTAGTCTTAGTGACCTGAGAGCGTGACCCCAGTGCCCAAGGGATAACTGCTTGAGGTCGGTCACACACTAACTTTCTGCGAGCAATTTTCGTGTTAGCTCCGTACTTGTTGAGACCTTACCGTCGGAGACGGATACCCGTGGGATAAGGCGAAGTGTGTATTTTTAGGGTTGACCTTCTCTAACCCCATCCCTCGTTGTGGGAAGGCATCATCGCTGTTATGCTGATTGTCTGAATTTTCGGTTTGCTGATTTTAGTCTTACCGTTCTTCAACCGATTTGTCTGGCATGGTAGGACCTTGAGGGATGGTTGTTCCAACCAGTATAGCTCGACTGGTTCATCACGATAGGTAAGCCCAGCAACCACATCAAGGTAGCAACAACGGTCGGGTTATTTGTTTATAGTTTATAGTGTGTATATTTTATAATTCCCATTACTTCATCAGTTATGCGATATGTTTTCAGTCTTTGGTACAAAAATTGGTCTTAAACATAGTATGTAACGATGCTATTATATTGTATCAAAAGAATAGATAATATCCTCCTTTTCAAGAAAGACAAACACGACTATTTAAGCATTAATTATGTGTTCTTGGGTTTCAGTGCTAGCCATTATTCATCTTTGCTTATACTTCTTGTGACTTGAGGTAATATAGAGGCAGTTCGTACAGGATGGGCATGCGCCAATAAGAGACTGATCAATTGCAGTCCTAAACATCGATGTAAAGATCTAAATAAACAATAAAAATGAAGTGTTATACTTCAAATTAAGGAACAACAAATGTGATATATAAAGTTTTATTTGTTATAGATATATAAGATCTATTTACTGAAGGTATGATTGTTACTTTAATTGTGGCCCTTAATAATCATTAACCTAACAAATTTGTTGACAAATTCTTCATGTGTATGAAGTTTACTTGAGATCTTAGTTGTTGAAAAGCAAGATATTTTATGTAATCAGTTATGTCATATTTATGGTATGGTTGTATAGCCATTCACTTGAGTATTTTAGAATGCTAACCGGAGCATTATCAAAATAATAGAAATCTAAACATTTACTGGATTTAGTGTTCTTGATGACGATAGTCACAGTGTAGTGAACAAGAACTCAGGTGATTGCTTAATATAAAATTACAGAATATCTTCATAAAATATGAGAACCATATATTAAATACTTCATTTGCAAATCTTCCATCGATTGTCATTCGCATTCTGTATGATTCTTTTAATTGATTGCATCCAAGCTATTGGCTTCCGTTATACTTCGTAGATTGTTCAAAACCCCAGAAAGATTGACTCGCGAGGAGCAGGCTGGGTTTCATTCCGGTCGAAGATGTATTGATCATATCTTCACCCTCCGCCGAATGTTAGAACATCGCCATACTTATCAAAGGCCAACAATCGTAGTGTTTCTTGACATTAGGGCTGCCTTCGATTCGTTGGACAGGACTGTTCTCTGGGATTGTCTATTGAAGAAGGGTGTGCCTGAGAAGTTTATTAACATCCTAAAAGCCCTATATAAAAACACCTCAGGCAGAGTGAAGGCATACAACCACCTTTCTCCATTGTTCCATTCGAGTAGTGGGGTTAGGCAGGGTTGCCCAATCTCACCATTCCTCTTCAACTTTGCCATCGATGACATTCTGGAAACAGCTCTGATGAATGTAAGTAATGGTGGTGTGGATCTGTTGCCTGGAGAAAGACTTCTCGACCTTGAGTATGTGGACGATATTGTCTTACTGTGCGATAATGCCCAAGGCATGCAATCCGCACTTAATCAGTTGGCAATCAGTGTCCGTCGGTATGGTATCTGCTTTGCACCTTCTAAGTTCAAAGTACTTCTACAAGACTGACAGGATTCTAATCCTGTACTCACCCTGGATGGTGAGTAGATAGACGTAGTCGAGAAGTTCGTGTATCTGGGTAGCTGCATAAGTGCTGGTGGTGGTGTGAGTGATGAGATCAATGCACGTATAGTGGAAGTCAGAGCGGCTTATACCAATCTGGACCACCTTTGGCGCCTTCGTGATATTAGTCTGGCTGTAAAAGGTCGGATCTACAACGCGTCGGTGAGAGCAGTTTTGCTCTATGCTTGTGAAACCTGGCTTCTCCGAGTTGAGGACGTTAGACGACTCTGTGTGTTCGATCATCGCTGTCTCCGAAGGATTGCTGGCATCGTGTGTTCGGGCACAGAGACGATAATTCAATTGGTGTTACCATCTTGGAACAATGACTTCTGTGGCTTGGACATGTACTACGAATGTCGTCTCAGAGAATTCCACGTCGTGCATTATTTGCCGACTCTGGGACTGGTTGGAAAAAGCGAGGTGGAGAGGTGGTCAGTGTATGAGATGGTGTGGTGGTATAAAAGAAAGCTGCAAAGGACTGGCTTGTGTTGGTCCTTCACGACTCGCTGGTTGAGGTTCGGGAGATGGTGCAACACAGTGGCTAGAGACGTTATCAGATATGGTTCAGAATAGAAGCCAGTGGCGATCCTGCTGTAACCATTTTTTACTTTCTTCATAAAAAATGGTTGTTTCTTTTTTACCTGAAAGATTTTTTCTGATTGTACTTTTTCGTTTCCCGCATTATTACTATTACACAACCTTACACTAAGCTGTTCGTTATTGTTTTTTTTACGTTCCTCTTTTTTTACTGAAATTCTCATTGTTTTGTGTGGCGCATATATATTTGGCGCTCTCTTTTACCAGTATTTATATGTCCAAATAAAATAAATAAATAAATATTGATAATCCCTTCCTATTCCCCTTTTTGTTTTCTCCAACTCGATCTTCTTGACCTTCTGTTGACATACATTCCACTTCAGATTGGTGTTACATACTACTTATCTTGAAAGACATAAGTAGTACACATTACATTAGGACAGTTTATTCAATTTATGTTCAAATTTAATTGTCATTTATCTAATTTGTATTTTAGACTTTCCTTATGGCAATCTGTTGGCTATAAAACATTCAGTGTGTTCCGAGATGAATCAACTATAGCTGAAGTAAATCATTATCCACATCCTAATCATAGGGATCAATTAGAGAATGTACTTGATAATGATAATGACTTCAGAGATGAAATAAGTAATAACATGGCAAGTGAAGAGTTTCCATATGGAACTGATGCTGGAATCTACTATAAAATTGGTGATGCTTCTGAGCCACTTAGTATTTTCTCATTAATGAAAGCTGAAAATAAAATTGATGGTACACCACCATATTTTGTATGTACTACTATTGGTAAGTTTAATATCTTTTCAGATCACTGATGCTTTCTAACTTCTAAATAATAAATTTAAAACGTATACATGCTATATATATGAAGCGATTACGAGTTCACCTAATTTGAGAACGGAACGAGGATTCTGTGACACAATGACAGAAAGCCAGCTATTCTGACTCATCCCAACCCGCTAACTAGAGAGAGAAGTCCAAGTTCGAACGGGGAAATATATTCTGTAGGCAGCCAGAAGCATAAGCAATAACAACAGGCATAAATCAAACGGATATATACAGCCATAAACTGTCCTTGGGAAGCGTTAAAAAACAGCATACTAAAAAGATACAACGAACCAATAGCGTTTAAGATCCTCCGAAGTGGAAAGTGCAAAATAAAAAAGTGAAAATAACCCCTTTTGGCGCGGAAACAAGCAATTCAAATTTTTAAAATAAAATTATAAAAAATAAGGTATACAACGTGAAGTTATTTTGGAAAATAATGTGAGGTAAGCTCATTTGTTTAATTGTGTAGTTTTCATTATGGTTCTGGATAACATGATTGGTGTTTACTCCACGTGGAAGTATGCTTCTAATATCCCGATGAGAATAATGAATGGTAATTGTTGGAATCTATTTCTGGACAAAAACTGTACATATATATTTATCGTATAATTGTTAAGTAATTCAACTATTGATATTCGTGTCCCTCTTATCATAAACTTTATTTTGACCCATAGACTATTATCATACGATTTACCATTCTTAAGTTATGTCCAATCTATCAATTACTATCTCCTTCATTCACAGCCACATTTGGTTAAATTTTGTATAAATGTTGTTTCCTATTTTTATGGTACGATGGTCGGTTGGTATGTAAACCTCAGTATGTTTGAAATACATGATTCATATCGCAGAGTCAAAGATTAGTGTTTTGGATCTAACAGGCAGGGCTCGGCGGGAAGCAGGACCGATAAGGACTGTAGACTGCTTGTACTTGTTTTATGCGTCATTGGTCCGATCGATAATTCACTCCTCTCTTATTGGCGGTATCATTAGGCTATACATTAATAGGACACAGGGCACAAGTTATAACAAAGCTGTTTAACCATTCCAAGCACTCCAAATTAGCCTGTTCTGACGATTTTTTTCTATAAATGGTTGGGTGTTTTCGTAGGTTTTTATAATTGATATTTTTCTTTGTATCTTCATTGAGCGACATGCTTAGTTCACCCTTTCCCGTGTTATTGATCATTTTTTACAATAAAGATTGGTTAATAAGGCTTATGTTGATATGTCCATTGATTGCCGATCGGCTTGAATATCAGCAACGATGATGTTTTTTTTTCAAAACGTTTACATGACAGACTGAATTACTAGGGTTGTTGTTTGTATGAGACCATGGTCGCGACCGTGGCCTCGTGGTGTAGCGGTTAGTGCATTGGACTTTGAATCCAGCGACCCCCATGAGACCACAAACTTCTTGCGTTGATAAAAATAATCGAATATCAGTAGTCACTTCTTTTTTTCCGATTACTGACAAACTGCCAACATCGATGCTAATAAACTAAGTCTGGAAAAAATTATCCAAAAACGTCGATAGTACCGAACTATTGCTTTATATGTACAACATAAGGTGATAAAGCGCAAAATAACGAGATACCTGAATTGCCTAACCTTTAAGGACCTCTAGAAATGATTTAAACAAGAGAAATAGAGATAGGTCAAGTTTGTTGCCACAAATGAGGATTAGTTGACTGATTCCAATGATTCCAAGCACCTCCAGGTTGCATCTCCTCATTTCTGCAGCAATTTGGAAGACTCTCTCGGTGTCCTACATTATACGAGCATTCCACGTACCTAAATAAATGGTTGCTCTGGTTGTCAGAAGGGGCATCATCATCGTGAGTTCAGAAGGAACTCGGCTTCCATCATTAGGCGTCATAACTCTTCTAAATGAAAACCTTCTAACTCCCAGGGCAGAGTTTAAATGGTTTGAATAATTTTTTCTGGTCAGCGTTTTTTTAGCGAGTTAGTTTTCTACAGGATGGGATCGCTAATTTCATGCCCATCCCTCCTCCTTTGTCCGGGCTTGGGACCTGCAGTAGCCCCAGAGCGGGGTTACGGGCGGAGTTAGGATTAGTTGACAGTGAACAAGATCTCTAATTTTGTTGGATTACTTTTTCGTTGCTCATTTGTTGAACATATCACTTCACAGGTTATATCATTCTATGTATAGTAATTTTCCAATCTCATTTGTGAAATTCCCTTCAATTTATACGTTTCTTTTTACAGATAACAGTGGTCATTGGAGTCATGGTGGAATATTTCGAGCTCTTGATAAACGTAGTAATAATCAAATCAAAGATGCATATGAATTAGCTGGTCAAATGGATGATTTAAATTTAGGTGATTGTTTAATTGTTCCGATTGAGAATCCTGACAATTCATCATCAACAAAAAAAGAAATTAAAGTAAGAAGATTAAGTGCATATTCATTTTATTTCTGTCATACTCTGCAGATTGTTCAAAAGCTATGAAACGCTAATTCGCAATTACTAGGCTGGTTTTTATTTAATTCGTGGATTAGTGTTGACCATTACTTCAACCTTTACCAAATACTGGATCACCGCCACACTTGTTTCAAGCTAACAATAGTTGTGGTTCATCTGACATCGAGGTTACGTTAGATGCATTCAATAAAATTGTGCTCTTAGATTGTTTGTTAAAGAAAAGAATGTCTGAGAAGCGTATTAACATTTTGAAGTTTCTGTGCATAAACACTTCAGGCAGAATAAAAGCATACAACCACCTCTACTTGTAGGATTAGGCAAGGTTATCTAATCTCACCATTCCTCTCCAACTCCGCTATTAATAACATTCTCGAAACAGTAGTGATGGAATTAGGTTGTACAAAATACATTTTAGTGATAAACTAACTGGTGTTTGTACAAATATGACGAAGTTTAGTGCAAAGTAGAACTGTGATTTCATCGTTATCACCTACTATCTAGACTTGCTACAATGAATTATGCGGATCGATTTGTTAGATTATTGAATATGATACTATTAGAAATCTATACTCTTAGATTCTTGTCTGTTTTCCTCTCATTACCTACATACGCCGCATTCCCATCAAAAAAATTCTGCTACCTGAGTTAGAATATCATGCAAACCTCTAGAGACATCGAAGTAGTTATATTTATTTATGTATAGATAGATAGATGCGTTCTTTTCAATAAAAACGCAAACTTATCAATTAGTGTTTCTCAGTTATGAACATAACCAATATAACAACCTGAATGAGCATACTGTAAATGCTCTTTCATCTACGTGAAGGTTTCCAAGCTCGTGAATATTTGTGTAGGACCACGTTTGTGCACTGCTGCTTCTGGAAAACATTTCTACACATTCATCAGTGATTGTTCGCGGGTTTCTAGCACATAATTCTATCGTTTCCCTAGGTCCATTAATCTTACTCACTAAATTGGAGGTCCTTGCAATTTCCTTTTCTTGCTCCGAAAATGCAAAACAGTCATGGGACAAATGTATGGGCTATAAAAAATGAAATAAATAAGAGTTATCCATGAAGTTGGGATTCTGAAGACTTCCAGGGTCAGTCAGTCAGCTACAACGTAGGACCAGGCACATATGTGCATCGGTTCAAGTTGCCATACCTCATTAGCACAACAAGGTGAACATCGGATTCATAGAAGTAGTTAATTCAATAGTTGTAATATATAAAAGAAATATTGCATATAAGCATATAGTACAAGAAGAAAGAATAAATTCGTAGAAAGAAAGATATTAAGTGATTTTAATCTCATAGTTTAAGGGAAGACAGAGACTGTATACATCGACACCATTGTGATCGATTCTGAGCCATGTAACTAAGAGTCTCCAACCATTGGTTACGATAATCATACGGGCCCCACCCCAACCCATTAGTCTTCATCTACCGACATAGCTCAGACTAGAAGTTAGTGACTTCACTGACTGATGCCACGTTTTGATTTGGCCACCCCTAACTTCCAACCGTTCCCCACATTAGTGAGCATTGTGCGTCGTGGTAATCGGTGTTCAGGCATACGCAACACATGGCCCAAACATCTCAGTCGATGAAGATTCACAACTTCATCAACTGACTTAACATCATCATTCCCTCAATACCATACGTCTAACCTCACTATATTACCTACCCAGTGATCCCAGCAGATGGCAGCAATATTTCTAAGGCATCTGTGGTCAAATACTAATAGCTTACGAGTGTCTTCTACTCTTAATGGCCATGTTTCGCAGCCGTAAATTAAAACAGAACGGACTGCCGCGCAGTATACCCGTCCCTTAATTGATATACGGATATCTCGCCTTCGCCACAGGTGACGTAAGTTGGCAAAAGCCAAACGAGCTTTTCGAATCCGTGCTGAGATTTCGTCCGATACCAACCCATTAGGGCTGATCAGACTTCCAAGATAAGTGAATTTGTCGACTCATTCGACTACTTCACTCCCTATCCTTAGTTCAAGTGTTGATGCAGGCATTTAGAGGGACTTCCTGAACATTCTAAACAGATGGAAAAAATACTAGCCAAATTTGACAAACTAAATTCTTGTGACCTTTAGTTTGTGCATTTATTGAATCTAATTATGGTTAGGCAGACCAACCATCTGTCCATAATACAGTGTTAGTCTAATTTATTCGTCTAATTTTCTCTAATCTTGTTTATTTTCATTACATAACACATTTGTAGACTTTTAATGACTATTTAACCAACCATCATAACAATAATGATAATAGTGATGATGGTAGCACTAAACCGATTGTCCATAATCATTGGTCAAATAATTTTTCTGGCCTGTTAATTGCTCAAAAACATTCCAGTAAAACGTATTCAACTGGTGAAGCTCCAGATTTACAACTAAATGCATTAGAAAAAAGTTTATGTGCTCTTGGAATGGCTTGTGCTCGTTTAAAATTGTGTAAGTCATAATGAAGGATTGAATTTGTAGATTATTAACCATTTTATTTCGTGTCCAGATAATAAGAGCTAAGTTTTTTTTATATTTTATCACCGAGATGTTATAACAATAACACTATTTTTAGCAAAGATGTATGATGGCTAGCAGTGAAATCTGGGAATCGCGTTTCGTTCTCATTGAAACTAGTCAACTGGATGTACTTTCATCTCAGATTTGGTATTCACTCCGGGACTCAAACTCAGTAACGTTCGCTTCAAATGTCATCACTTTATCCACATAGCTACTGTGTCCTGATAGAAACTAGCTTGTGCAATGGGGTGAAGTTTTAATTCATTTTTATACTGTTTGCTTGAATCTTCCTATTGATATTTAGGACTGCAATTAATCAGTCTGCTATTGGTGTATGCATCCTGTGCAGATTGCCACGATATTGCCCTAAGTCACAAACATTATAAGCAGCTGACAGATCTCAAATATGACGAAATGAGTGTCCTGTGCTGATTGCCTTGATAATAGAATAAACGGAATGTGGCGATAAATAAAAATAATATATTTGTAATATCCCAATGAGTAGAAAATTGGATTTTTCTGACGTTTCGTGGCTTAGTGTAAGTCACTTCTTGGGAATGTGGCGAGTCCCGATTAGGACGAAAAACGCTTACTAGACTCCACTTCCATCCATATTCCATATATTCTATGTAAACTGGTGGATAATGTTTTTCCAATAATTATTGAGTAACACGTCATGTGATTTGTCAGCATTCATCGTTCCTTTTGAACAAATGAACTAGCGTTACAGGTTCGAGCCACTACAGCTTATGCAATATGTAGGAGACCAGTTTGAATCTAATTGGAAAACGATGAAGATATACGACAGATCATTCGAAATGACCACCGTAAACCAGGTTTGCCCAAGATAGAGCTGCGTATTGCTTTCTAATGAGTGAACATCTCCCTGAGTGACGTAAAAAGGGCCCGACGAAAACGAGACTTGACTCTATCTTAGCACATTTGATTAACAATGGTCATATAGTTGGCAAAACCAAATCATTTCGAATGATCTACCATATACTCATTTCGTTTTCCAATAAGATTTAATCTCATCTCCAACTTATCATTCTTTATTTTAAGCTTTCTAACTAGTATCAGAAGGGGGTTTTGTGGATATTATAGTAATTTCAATAGTTGAGATCATGAGTCAATTGAATCCGGTGTTCATCTTGTTGTGCTAATGAAGTATGGCATTTGTAGCTGACTGACTGACTGACTGTACTTAAAAATACCTTAAATATCAATGACACATTTAATAATATTTTAGATTTCCTATTTGACTAATTTTTTTCATTTTGCAGGCTCTGTTCATATTCCTCGATTAGGACATGGAACTCAAGCATTTACATGGTATAAAATTGAAAGATTATTAAGAAAACATCTTGTTGATCATCATCATATTTCAGTATATGTGTATCCTTTTTCTTTGTTATTGTAATTGTCTGCTTACATTGCCATTAAATTCTTATTTATTTATTTAAACACATAAACATTGGTACAAAGGGACAACAAAATGCATGAGTGCCACACAATAAGTCATCCAATTTGTGTGTGGGGGCTGGGATACTGACAGGGCTCTCAAACCGAAGCAAATGGTTTTCCTAGAGGGTCACATCTGGAGCCTTTGACCTAAAGGTCTAATGCATAAGGCAGTGGAGCAACGTTAAATGATGTAGTCTTATGATAGCTGGCGATCAACAGTAGGTTCATATGCCATTTGTTCCTTCATGATTCTGGAGCGCATGTGAACCATCGGTTTTGAATGGGGATTTTCTAACTCCCCTAAATGGATCCTCTATATCCACCAACCCGTCTAAAGCGTCGAACATTCGCTTTCCATCCTCTCAATTTCGTAAACAACAGTAATGCTTTGAGAAGGCAGTGAGTAGGACTTCCCTGACAGCAGTGGTAGTATGTACGTGTCCATATGAGAGGATTTTGAGAGGGAGAGCTGATTCTCCCCACTCTCGGTCATACTAGGGCATTTGGGAGGTATAACGGAGTTAAGTATATGTAGACTAATGATAACTGTAAGCGATCTCACTGTCTGTGAGGATTTAAAAAATATATATATACTATCAATTTGCTTTGATACAGTCACTTAGTAACACAACAAAATCGATTAATTCGTTAGAAACATTCTATCAATAACTGGTCAGATTAATTCCCTAAATTATAATGTTAACATATGTGTTGTAATCTATATTTCTTAACTAGTTTTATATACTATCTATATATACATATATATAATTAAAGATATTATTATCGTCCAGTTAATACAGATAATCATCATTCATCTGATTCCTGTACAACATCTACTGCTTCATGTTCGTCTTCATCAACTAAAGGTTAATATATTTTATCATTTTAAGTGTTTTATAGTTAATCATTACATGAACATTTTACATTTTTAGATACAATGAAAAATAATAAATTAGTGGAGGTAGATATTTAATGAGTTAAGGAATAAGGTCATTTCTAGCATGATATGACAATATTAGTTACTTACTTACTCCTGTTACTCCCAATGGAGCATAGGCTACCGACCAACATTCTCTAACCCACTCTGTCCTGGGCCTTCCTTTCTAGTTCTATCCAATTGTTGTTCATTTTTCCTATGTGTCTCCATTCCTCAGCGTAATGTATTCTTTGGTCTTCCTCTTCTCTTTTAGTATTGAGGATTCCAAGTAAGGGCTTGTCTTGTGACGCAGTTGGGTGCTCTCCTCAACGTGTATCATATCCAACGCTTCTTCCTGATTTCCTGCACTGGAATCTGGTTTGTTCTCTCTCGCAATAGGTTGTTGCTGATAGTGTCTGGTCAACAGATCCGAAGTATTTTGCGTAGACAGCTGTTAATAAACACTTGTATGTTGTGGATGATGTCTTTCGTAGTTCTCCAAGTTTCCGCCCCGTACAGTAGAACTGTCTTGACATTTACATTGAGAATTCTGACCTTGGTTGTTGGTTGACAGATACTTGTTTTGAGTTTCAGATGTTCTTCAGTTGTAAATATGCTGCTCTTGCTTTGCCGATCCGCGCCTTCACATCTGCATCATGTCAAAAACTTGTTGACAATTATTTTCCCATCAGAAAGAGTTACAACTTACGTAGATTATTAACTGAACGATGATAGTTTATCAAAATCAGACTAGTTCAAGATACAGATGGAAGGTTACCAAAAACACAACTTACTTACTTACACCTACTACCCCTCATGGTGGAGCATAGGGCGGCCCACCAGCATTCTCTATCAAACTTTGTCCTGGGCAATCCTTTCCAGTCGCTATTCATCCCGACGTAGTGTGTTCTATGGTCTTCTTCTTTTCCGTTTCCCTTCAGGATTCCAAGTAAGCGCTTACCTGATGATGCAATTTGATGATTTCCACAACGTATGTTCTATCCACCCCGATTGTTTTTTACTAATTTTCTCTTCAACCGAAAATTGGTTTGTTCTCTTCCATAGTAGGTTGTTGCTGATGGTATACGACGAAGCGATATTGAGTATCTTAAGTAGACAACTGTTTACAAATGCTTGTACCTTTTTGATGATGGTTGTAGTGGTTATCTTAGTTTCAGCTCCGTACATTAGTACTGTCTTGACGTTCGTATTGAAGATTGTAACTTGGATGTAGATTGACAGTTGTTTTGAGTTCCATATGTTCATTAACTGTAGGAATGCTGTTGTTGCTTTAACAACCCTTACCTTTATGTCTGTATCAGATCTTCCACGTTCATCGATGATGCCTCTCAGATACGTGAAACTTTCCACCTCTTCCAGAGTTTCTCCATCAAGTGAAATTGGGTTGGTAACTGTTCTACTTTCTTATCAGTGATAACTTATAATCTCCATTGTCACTATATTGATTTTAATTGGACAGTAGATTTTTTCTTTCCACTTTTCATATTACTAATTATAAACTGGTTATTATTATTTGCTTTGTATTTTACTCTTTATTTATTTATTTGTTTATTTTTGAAATAGAACCTTTTAAGTCTCTGAAACGAAAAATCTCCTCTTCAGAAAACAAAATTAATTTTAATCAAAATCTGGGTTAGTCAAATTGTTTTCTTTATTGTATAGTATTTAATAATCTCCACAACCCTATACTGATAATTACCATGTACTCACTAGTGACTACCTTCGTGAGGCAATTCTCGGAGTTCTAGTGAGAAGCCGCGACCAATGGAGCTAATCCATGTCGGGTAGAGACAAGTATCTACCTCCAGTACAATGAAAGATGGTCGCGTAATTTCGTAGATTAGTTGAGGTTAGTCATTAACACCATTAGATGCCGGCTCATTGGTCTAGAGGTTAAGCGTTTGCGCACGAGACTGAAGGGCCTAGGTTTGAATCCCGTGAGCGGGGTCGTGGATGCGCTTTGGTGATTAGTCCTATACTAGGACGAAACGGCCGTCCAGTGCTTTCAGGTTTTCAATAGTGGTCTAACATCAATCGGTTCATGATCACAACCTTATACTGATAAGAGTTTTCTTGTCTGAATGTACAATATATGATCTTATTATTGTTGCTTAAAAATTTATATTTAACTGTGAATACACTTCTGCTTCAAGTGAGGTAACTAACTAAGATTAATGATATTGCAATGTTTGTCATTTGTTCTTTAGCTTAGTTAACGTTTCATTCAAATAATTGTAAAATCTAACCGTTCTTCACTACTATCTTACATGTCTAGATGTTCTGATGATCTTATTTATAACTAGTTATCTTTGTAGGCTTCCTTATCTCCATATGTCTTTGCATTGTTTGTTCAGTTAACCTCAGATCATGGGATCGACCGGTGTTTCTTATTCACATTTATAAACTAGACATAATGTTAGCAGATCCGTGTTCACAGTTGCTTGTATGCATTGATGTAAGCATTCAATCATAGACATCTTGGAACCATTTGCTGTATATTTTGGTACAATCACGTTAACAGTTTTGAGGTTAGATGCAGATTACCAAGTAAATGTAGAAAGTCAATTATCGAAGGGCCGAATCTTTATCAATTAATGTGGTTGGGACATGCATCCATCGATTGTCTTGATACACAACAAAGACTAGGGTAAGAACAGGTTGCAAGAAATCTAGGAGCGTCCAAAACAATACATAGCATCAGTTAACAAAGTCATTGACTATTAGAGTTAGCCCCTTAGATTGGTGCAGAATACCTGGTTGGGGTCCATGTAATTATCTCAACCCGTGCTTCGAGACTATGAGAAGGCTCAAAATCGTTTGCAATGGCCTAGGTGCATTCATTTTTTGTTTTTGCATAAATCCTATGTTTCTAAATTCTCTTTTATATCACCAGTTTATATTTTCTTCTCTAATCGTCTCTTAAATACCTAATATTTTCTATTACCACCAGTGCTCTTACTACATCTACTACTACTCTAGTGTTTGTTCTGACTTCATCTTGCTATTCCAGTGTATTGTGACAAATTGAACTGATATACACATAAACCGACCGTTATCCTCATCCTTTTATTGTTTTTCTTTGCATGTTAACTCGACAATTTCCAGTCTGTTCATATAATTTTATTCTGTTTTAATCAATCTGTAAATTATGGCGAGACTATAATTTATGAACGAATCAATCACGTGTAAGATCGCAGGTCTCAGATTTTGGCGCGAAATTCACTCATCCATTTGGCTAAATAGTTTTGGCATTATAGCTGTTGTCAATTCGTGATGAAAACCCGTAAATCTAATTCTTAACCTTAATCAGCAACTGTAAATCATAATTCTAATTCTTCACACAGGTTTAAAACCCTCATTTAGTACCGGTTATTAGGTTGACACTCTCATGGTCAGTCTAGCGTCACTCAAAGGTCGTCCATAAATTATAGTCTCACCACTAACAGTTCAAAGGCGTCCTCATTTTCTTGATCAACACAACAACGTCCTCAGAACAACAACCTCTCCACCTTTTGGTTGGCAGCGACACTAAATATACTAAACGAGAACACCAGTGAGAACAAGCGAATGTATTTCGATACAGCATTGCAGAATCTCTTTGTAAAATCTAAGAACCATACAGTATATACTTCATTTGCAAAATGTCAATCAATTGTCTTAGACTTGATTTTTTTTCATCGTTTCCGCACCATGCATCTCACTTTCGATTGGTGCCATATACTACTTATATCTGTCGACATCAGTAGCATACACCATAATAGTAGTGAATGTTTTTGAAAAAGAAATCTGTTCATCTAGATACACATTTATATGATTTGATCATTGTTTATTTTATTTTACAGAAACTATGCAACCAGCCAAATATTTGTATAATTTATTTACAGGCAAATCATTCTATATTGACAGTTCTTTAGTTGATGACAATGATGGTGATGTGAAGAAGTTAAAACGAATAATCATTGCATATCCTTTTTATTTGTTCATTATTTAAATGTAAATTAGATTGTAAACGAAATGATAAGTATGAACTAACTTTAAGAGAAGACTAAAATTATGCTATTTTTCTTGTGATATAATGTTTCGGTCACGAACTGTCATTTGCTGGATCATGAATGAGAACCTGGAAACTATAGATAGTTGTTCCCTTGATAGACAGCCTTCACGACCCTACATCCGAAAATCAAACCTAGTGAAATTCAACTATCTCGAGTGTGAGACAATTATCCACTATAGGTAATGGATGAGGGTGATACAACATCGTAAATTGATTGAAATTAGACATTTACCCAATTGGATGTCAGCTCAATAGATCCAATATCCTAGGGGAGTTGTCCCAACTGTTGTTGCTACCTTGACGTGGTGGTCGGGCTTATCTATCGTGATGAACCAATAGAGCTATACTGGCTGGAATAATCGTTCGTCAAGGTCCTATCATGCCAGACAGGTCGGTTGAAGAACGGTAAGACTAAAAGCAGCAAACCCAAAATTCGAAGGCGAAGTCGTACTGTTGAATGTACAGAGGTGCGTTTTTCGGACAATTAGCATAACAGTGATACTGCCTTCCCACAACGAGGAGTGGGGTTAGAAAAGGTCGACCCTAAAAATGCACACTTCGCCCTATCCCACGGATATCCGTCCCCGGCGGTTAAGGTCTCAACAAGTACGGAGCTAACACGAAACCTCAAGCAGTTATCCCTTGGGCCCTGTAGTCACGCTCTCAGGTCACTAAGACCATCCCTAACCCAGTTTCTTTTTCAGGTACCTCCAGAAGAACCTTTCCATGTTATGGGCAACCGGGAAGTGATAACCGCCCTCATATCTCTAACAGCACTCACGACCACTGTATTCATAATCAACCTCTCTGAGGGGGTTGTAGATGTGCACTGCTTAGGTGCTTCATACTGAGGCGAAACAGCTCTTCTGTGTTTTCTGATTCTCAATGATGGTCTAGATTAAATCACTTCACGATTTAAACGATTAAAATCCTCAAACTTGTACAAATTCCTTCATACTAATGTTTTTTTTAAATAGATATATAATTATGGTGGAAAACAGTTACTTATTCACTTAACTAAGCTGTTAACCCACACTCTATTCATAAATTCTAGTAATACTGTCTGTCTATGTGAATCTCCTTAGTTGATATCGGATTCAGTTAAAACTACTGAATTATAGTTCCTCTCTAGTCTAAGGTAAAATGCTTATCCAATCCCACTGTCATCTTTCTGTGGAAATTCTAGATTATATTTCTTGATTGTAGTTAGCAGTGAAGTTTAGGACGCCTTTTAAGCGATAGGTGCTGATTGCCAGTTTTAGTATAATCGCCGGGTACATTCAACTCATGAGTCTCAGTTAAGATGAAATGCACCTCGTAAATTAATTGTATTCACATTTCAAAAACACAATCAAACTTGTAACTGTAATTTGTATCGAAATAATGACTGAGTCGTTGCTTATCCCAACAGAGAGTATTTGAAATTCATTACTGAACACCACTGATGTTAGAAAATAAACCTTAGTTTGTGTTTAAACCGGAAAATTTTAACATTTCATAATCACTCAGCTGATGAGTCCCAAATAGGACATAACGCGCGTCCTGAAATACACTACTAGTCACTATCCATCTTTGACTGACCAAATATTCGCCTTTTTTTAAACGAACAAGTGATACAATCTCATTCTACTTTTTACCGATGAATATAGCTTTCATCTTCCCTTAACTAAATATTGTTATTGATTAATCTAGTTCACTTATGATGGTGTTGTAGTATCCAACCTAGACTCATCTGTTACACATATTATTTACACAGGTAAATTAAACCAGAGGATGAAACCGATCGATAAAGAGGTAAGTGCTTTTTATACGACAGTTACATTTGTTACATTCGGCTGTTAACCGAAAGGTTGGTGGTTTGAGCCCATCCGGGGGCGATAGGCACTTTGCCCCCAAATGACCTGGTACGGCCGAGAGTGGGGAGAGTCCACTCTCTCTCTCTCGAAATGCTCTCACATGGCCACGTGCATACAACCACTGTCAGGGAAGTCCTACACACTACCTTTTCGCGGCATTACTGTTGTTTACGAAATTGAGAGGACGAAAAGCAAATGTCCAGCGACTTAACCGGGTTGGTGGACACGCAGAGTCCACCTAGGGGAGTAGGAAATCCCTGATTCCAATCCAATGGTGCACATGGGCTCCAGTATGCTGAAGGATCAAATAGCGTATGAACCAATCATTGGTCACCGACTACCATAGGACTGTATCTCCTGACGTTGCTCCACTGTCTCGTGGATTAAACTTTTAGGTCGAAGGCTCCGGGTGTGGCCCCCTAAGAAAATCTTTTGCTCCGGTCTGGGCACCCTATCATTATCCCAGCCCTCACACAAATCGAATGATTTATATGGTGCATATCTATTTAGTGTCTCCTTGTACCAATGTTTATGTGTCTGAATTAGTATATGAATAAATTCATAACCGGGAGTTTTACATGGATAGTCTGTCTAATTAATACATCAACTTCATAATTAAGGTTACTAGTTATGGCCAACCATCAGATATATGGTCGTTTGGGTTGTCTGATCTTTTGTATAATTTACTGAGTCATTTACCCATATAATTTTCTAGCAAAACATCTGAAATTAAGGAAGATGTGTATAAACATCATCCAACGTTGTCGACTTTTGACCAAAAGTTGAAAAAGACACATTGTATAGAATAAAATAGTCCTACCTAATTCCTCGGTTCCCTTAAAAGAGTCACCATTGGTGATGAACCATTGTTCTGCCAATACGATATTTCATCTGAATTCTGGCGACTTCGAGGGATGTTTATAACGAGACTAGAGACCAAATGTTTTGCCATGAATAAAGAGTACATTGAAAGGAAATACGGTCTACACTCACATACATGCCAAATTTTGTAATATAAATCCTTCTAGATTTCAATCCACATTATTTACCAAACAGGTTACATATACTGTATTTATACTCACTCAGAATTGATTACCTCAAGTGGTGTTCTTCAGGGCTGTCCACTCTCTCCATTCTTGTTCAACTCTATCGTAGACGTGCTTTTAGAGCTGACACTTTCCTCATCTGAATTTACAGGGATTGAACTTCTACCAGGAGATCCACTTGTTGACTTAGAATATGTCGCTGCCATAGTTCTATTTGGTGAGGACGGTGACAAAATGCAGTCTTCTGACCACTCTAAGCAACAATGCAAGCATGTTCGAAATGCGATTCTCCCCCTTGAAATGCAAAATGTTGCTTCAGAATTGGGTCGCATCGATACCTGAACTAATGATAGGGAGTGAAGTAGTTGAGCAATCGACTGCTTCACTTATCTTGTGAGTCTCATCAGCCTTTGCGGTCTGGTGTGTGACAAAATCTCAGGACGGCTACAGAGGGCTCGACTAGCTTTTGCCAACTTGTGTCATTTATGGTGTAGGCGAGATATCCGTCTATCAACCAAAGGACGTGTTTACTGCGCAGCAGTTCGTTCCGTCCTTCTTTATGGCAGTGAAACATGGCCGGTAAGAGTAGAGGATATTCGTAGGTTACTAGTATTTGATCATAGGTGTCTTCGAAATATTGCTCGTATATCCTGGGACCATCGAGTAAGTAACGCAGTTGTTAGGAAACGGGTACTAGGTAAGGATGGAAAATCAATTGATGACGTAATGAAACTTCATCAGTTGAGATGGCTGGGACATGTGTTACGTATGCCCAACCACCGACTACCTCGACGTGCTATGTTCAGTGGTATAGCAGTAGGTTGGAAGAAAGCTAGAGGCGGCCAAACCAAAACATGGCACAAGTCCATGAAGTTACTAACAGGTGGAGTGAGCCATGTTTGTAGGTGTAGACTACCTGGTTGGGATCCGCGAGACGATAGCAGTCGATGATTAGAGACCTTGAATGACATGACTCAAAATCGTTTGCAATGGCGCAGGTATATCCACTCTTTGTGTTCTCCCAAATTCTCCTTCTCTCTCCAAATTTATTTCACTGGATTCTACTCCTTGAATAACATCTTCAATCCCTAGTCTTTCCGGCTACTGCTTATACTCTTACTACCTCGACAACTGCATCTCTGAGATAATGTGATATGGCAACTCGAACTGATGTACGTACGTACGAAGTTCTACGTTGTTACTGACTGACTGACTTAGACTCATACCTATTTTATATATCAATAAATGACGTGTTTCATTCAAAGATATGTTGATAGATTATTTAAAAGCATCATATTTAAATGACCAGATTTTTTATTGTTGTTGTTTACTTCTTTACTTTCAGAATTGTTTTCAATTATCTGCATCATGGATTTGGCAAAGTATAAAAAAGCGTATCTGTCTACCAGAATCTGACTATAATATAATGTGATATTTTATGCCTACTTTCTTTTATTTTTAAGATTGTAAACATTATTTTTCTAGAAGTATATCACTTTTCTTTTAAGATTTCCATTAATATTGTATATTGACTATTTGTATACAACAATAAAGTGATATATTGGACGAATTCAATTATCTTCTTTAAAAATATACTTATACTTGGTAATGAATGATTAGAAAAATCAACAGGATGAGGAGAATATGCTCCCATCTTAACACCAGCTAAATTCAAGAACCTATTCTGATTTGTCAAAATTGAAAGATCGTACATTGAACTAGTCAGAAATTGGCCAAATGATAAATGCGCGTGATTGCCACTCCCCTTATGCCCTAGTACAACCGATAGTGGGGAGCTTCTACTCTCTCTCGAAATGCTCTCACATGGCCACATGTGAACAACCACTGTCAGAGAAGTCCTACACACTACCTTTTCGCGGCATTACTGTTGTTTACGAAATTGAGAGGACGAAAAGCAAATGTCCGATGCTTTAACCGGGCTGGCGGACACGGATAGTCCACCTAGGGGAGTAGGAAAACCCTGATTCCAAACCAATGGTGCACATGGGGTCCAGTATCCTGAAGGAACAAGTGGCGCATGAACCAATCGTTGGTCACTGACTACCATGGGACTGTATCTCCTGACGTTGCTCCACTGTCTCCGTGGATTAGACCTTTGGTTCGAAGGCCCCCTAAGATAACCACCCACTCTGGTCTGGGCACCCTATCAGTATCCGAGACCCCACAGAAATCTATTAGTTCGTTTGGTGCCTTCCTGTACCAATGTTTATGTGTTTAAATAAATAAGTGCGCCTGACTGGCCTATAAACAGGTTTCATTCATAAGAAGTGAAACATACATCAGTAGCCTAATTTTTTAAGGATATATATATATGAGTGCACATACAGTCGATTCGCTTCGTCAATAAACTACTTTTCTAATTGTCTTTTAATTCGAGCAGTCAGTTGAGGCCATTCTTAGGAAGACTGTGTATCAGTATCACACCCAAACATCGCACGCTACAAAAGCGTTAGGTTTGTGTTTTATAGTTGCTAACATTCATTGAAAATCTACATGAGGTACGTCCTTTAATTGACCATTAGGTGGCAAACCATGTATTATCAAATAATTATGCAGTTAAAGTTCTAGATAAGTTAACTGGCTCAATTACAACCAACAGGTTGTCTCTTGTTTTCTAAATGCATCACATGGAGCTTCGGATCTTCAAATAAATTTTCGTTTACTAAGAATCGATATGATCTCTTCTTACTTGCCTCGCCTATCAGTTTCAGTTCACCATGATATCTAATCGCTTATCTTAGTAGTCGAAATCTAGACATGCAGTCGCTAAAATTGAGGACTGGTTATTCTACATCCCAGCGAAATAGTGATAGGTAAGTGTTTGGGGCGCTTGACTTTTAGTTGCAGGTCTCTATATTCGAAGCCCGCTTCGTAAACTTCAGTTCGTACATTTGGCTAATGCATACATGTATCTCAGGCAATCTAATGCTAATCTGCGTCAATATCATCATTAGATTGCCTAAGATATATATGGCATTCTGTAAGCTACAAGATCTTTTTTGTTTTCTGATCCGTCAATTGTGGTTACTCAAATGAGTCATAAATTACCTTCCTGCACAGCAAACATTGGGGGTTCTGTCAACATAATGATTAGGTATCGTATATAAGTTTTCAAGCTTGGAACAGCGTTTGTTTATTTAAACACAAACATTGGTAAAATGTGGCATCAAATATATATGCGCTACATAAATCATTCGATTTGTGTGAGCTGGTATACTGCCCAGGCGCTCAAACAGAAGTAGGTCATATCTGCAAATCTATGATGCATTTGCCATAATCCAGAAATTAAATGCTTATTTAAAAGAAATGAAGACATAAAACAACAACCAAAAGAAGAATAGTTAGCCATACCCATCATATATTGGGTACTTCACTACTTCCGAATTATACTATAGCACTATGGTCTAGGAATGATATTACCAAAAGCTCTTCAATAACTTTTAAGATGTAAATAATTATGATTTTATAGTTTATGACTTAATTATTTATTTATTTGAACACAGATATTGGCACAAGGGGGCACCAGATACATATGCGCCACACAAATCTAATTTGATTTGTATGAGAGCTGTGATAATGCCCAAGTGCAAGTGGTTTTCTTAGGGAGCCACACCCGGAGCCTTTCACCTGAAGGCCTAATCCACAAGGCAGTGGAGCAATGCAGTTCCATGGTAGTCGGTGACCAACGATTGGTTCATGCGCCATTTGTTCCTTCAAAATCCTGGAGCACATGTGCACTATTGGTTTGGAATCAGGGTTTTCCTACTCTCCTAGGTGAACTCCCCGTGTCCACCAACCTGGTTAAAGCATTGGACATTTGCTTTTCGTCCTCTCAATTTCGTAAACAACAGTAATGCCGCGAGAAGGACTTCCCTGGCAGAGGCTATATACGCGTGGCCATGTGAGAGTATTTTGAGAGATAGTGGACTCTCTCCACTTTCGACCGTGCCAGGGCATTTGAGTGCCATGACTTAATACATCTTATACGATAGTAAGTACTGAGATACAATCTATATTTTTTCCAGAAAAATCTAGTACATACTGTCTATTGTTATCAAATGATATAAATAATGTTTCACACAAACTTATATTGTAAAAAGGCCCCCAAATGCCCTGGTACGGCCGAGTGAGGAGAGTCCGCTTTCCCTCTAGAAATGCTCTCACATGGTCACGCGTATATAGCCTCTGCCAGGGAAGTCCCACTCACTGCCTTCTCGTACCACAGGTGTTGGTTACGAGAATGAGAGGACGAAAAAAAATGTCCGATGATTTAACCGGATTCCAAACCATTGGTGCACATGGTCTCCAGTATCCTCCGGGAACAAATGGCGTATGAACCAATCGTTGGTCACTGGCTACCATGGGATTGCATCTCCTGACGATGCTCCACTGCCTTATGGATCAGACCTTCAGGTCGAAGGCTCGGGGAGTGGCCCCCCAGGAAAACCACCTGCTTCAGTTTGGGCACCCGGGCAGTATCACAGCCCTCACACATATTGAATGAGATTTTTGTGGCGCCTATGTATTTGGTGCCTCCTTGTACCAATATCTATGTGTTAAAATAAATAAATAATAATACTGTAAAAAGAAGAGTTGATACAGATAAAGAATCGAATGATTGATTTTTTTTATTCCATATTTCCTAATCAATAATTTAATAACACCAGAATGAACGAAATGTAATCGAACTCTAGAGTGAACACATTTACTTTTATAGCCTACACTATAATCATGTACAATGTTTAGAGACCCTGAATGATATGGCTCAAAATGGTTTGCAATGGTGCAAGTGCATCCATTCTTTGTGTTCTCTCAAATTCTAATCTCCCGATTCATCCTTGTCTTTTTTTTTCTTGTCCCAAATTTACTTCACTGGACTATACTCTATAAACAACATCTCCAAACCCTAACCTTTCCGATTACTGCTTTTACTCTTATTACCTCTACCACTACAGGATTTGAATCGATAACTGCATCTCTGTGCTAATGTAGTATAGCAACTCGAACTGATGTACGTACGTACGAAGTTCTACGTTGTTATTGACTGACTGACTGACAAGAATAAATCCCACTCATTAGTATTATTATATAATGTACAAATAATATCTGAATAAATATACAGGATAATTATAAAAGTTAAACAAAAAGAACGAATAGTACAAAAGTTAATATTGTGTATGTTGACTTAGTGCATGTCGTAGTGAATTATTTTCATGTTTCATTTGATGAATAACATTATGAAACTCTTTACACATTTGATCAAGTTTACATTCTAATTTAGTAAATTTAAATAATAATTCATTATGTGACCAATTCAATTGAGACATCATAGATTGAAGTTTAACATTGAAATATTGTTCTAACCATTCATTTGTGACATGAATTGAATTGAGATTTACAGAATCTTTAAGATGATAACAATCGGATTTTAATTGTTGATTAATATTTACAACATTAACATCTATATTAGATTCTGGTCTTAATGATACAGTTTTCTCTACATTATCAATATTCACTTCTGACCAATTAGATTTTATAGAACCTTGATCAGATGATGGAAACATACTGGAATTTGAATGTAATGAAATGTCTGGTACGGAAAACTCACGAAATAATGATACCCATGTATCAGGTTGACATTTAGGTATAATATTAGTTACTTCATGGAGTGGTTGTTTTGATGAACTCAATAGTGTGTCTGTAACAATACTCTTTACTGAAGTTGAATTTCCATACAATTTCGCATCAAGGTTCTCGTCCTGTAAACTTTCAAGCCAATTGGATTTTGGGGAGTTAAACTTAACTTCGTCACTAGTCCGATAAACAAAAGAGAACGAAAGCAAGCTTATTGGAATATTCAATCCTGAGGAAACACAACGGATAGGTGAAGTAAAATCAGGTATATTATAAAACCAAATATTACCATTTGCTAAGCCAGTTGCAAGAATGTTTGTGTCCAAAGAGACAGCAACACTTAAATATCCATGTTGTTCATCAATCGGTGACAACGTTTTTATTGGTAATAATTTAAGTCGAGACGCTTCCCACATACGTAAATTCATATCCGGTGCTCCTGCAGTAAAAAATCGTACACCAATTGACAAAGCCATATCCATGCAGTATTCACAGTTATTCGTGTTTATCGTAGTGGATAGAAAAGATTTAGGATCCCAGCGACAAAAAATTAACTTCTCTGTAGGCCCAACAATAGGCCAGTCTAAATACCATATAATAATAGATCCATCAGAATAACCACAATATAACCAATTATTGTTTCCTCCGCAAGTTCTAAAAATATTACATGCAGGTGTAGAAGGATTGTTGTTTTCGGGATATGAAGGAAATGGTAATATGAAATTCTCACATTCACCTGTAGACGTACCAGACGCAGCTAAAAATAAGACAATAGATCCATTACTATATCCAGCAGCAACAACACGGTCCTTTAAAATCCAGATGACACACCTAGGCTGCATTTCATTGGAAGATGATCTTTCAGAATTATTACTGAAGCGTAACTGCGAATAAAAAGAAATTTGTTTTTGGC